AAAAATATAAGAGATGTTTATGTAACATATATTTTAAGTTGAAGGGAAATTTATATACGTTTTCAAAATAGAAGAAATGTTTTTGTAATTTAAATAAAATAGAGGGGTAGTTAATGTATTTTACTCTAAAACTTGATACTCCTTGTTAGGGCACTACAATTAATTATCACATACTAAAAAGTGATAGTTATTTTAGACTAAAAATTATTTTTAGAAAATATTCTATAATAAGAAACAGAAAGAGTAGTTCATGACTTAATTAATTAATTCATTGATTGATTGATTAGTATGATGAAATTAACTATTGTTTTTCTAGCAAAAAAAAAAACATAGAGAGAGAAACTAACTATTAGTGTCATCCTGTGTTTGGAATTTAGATTATTGAAATTAAAATTTTAATGGGGACAATAATTGAACATGTTTCATACGAGACAAGTCTTGGATTGTATTAACTTTATCTTAAAATATAACAATTTTTAAATTTTATCGTTATTTAATATGTACAATTTTAAAAAAATTTACACTGAAATAAATGCAAAAAATATATATAGTATATTCGTACTAAAAATTTAATGATATGACTTATAAATATAACAAAAAAATTTTAAATTTACAATTAAAGATTTTAATTTCAATAGTTCTTTCTGTTAAAAAATTTAACTGGAATTGGTATGAACAATGTTTTTCTTTTCACTCCTTCCAAATAAAGAACTTTCATGGAAGGGAGGAGATATGAGGAAATATCAAAGCTTTTTAAATCACAGTCTCACTTTCAAAAAGGAGTGAGAACATGTGACGTTCAGGTTTTAAGGAATTTTTTTTTAAATTATAATTGGGGGATATCTTACAGGCACGAAAACAAGATTTGTACAGGAATCATAGATCCTTTATGAAGAAATTAAAGGGAAAAGTAATTTGGGAACCCCTAGAGTGTGGTATGCTAAAACTTAATGTACATAGGAGCATCATTTTGACTGAAGATGGGTCAAATATTGGTGGCACAGGTGGGGTGCTATGTGATTCAAATGGAAACTTTGTTAAAGGTTTCTATAAGAATATTGGACATGTAGATGATATCCTCTTGGCTGAATTGTCAGCCTTAAAAGAAGGCTTAATTTTGTTTGGATCATTTGGAAAATTAATTGAAGAAGCAAATGGTCAACCCTTAATCCGGATGTTGAGTAATGAAGGCAAATATAAATATGCAGAAGTTGAGCAAGTCAAGATGATGTCAACAGGAAAGCATAGGAAATTTGCATATCGTAAAGGAAACCAGGTTGCTGATTTTTTAGCATATTATGCTTTAAAACGTGCAACAGATACAGAAAAAACATATGCATACCACCTTGAACTGATAATGTCTCTATTTGGAAGCAAAACAAGTCATTGCTCCCAAGCGTATGAAGTAATGTAAGCGCACAATAATAGCTAAGTTCTTTAAATGATGAGACTTGGTAGTATGGGATACCAAATTCATCCCATTTAAGTATTCATTAATTGGTATCAAAACTTTGATAACCCATTAAAGTACGATAAGCACACAACACTAGGTGAGTTCCTGAATGATATGGATTTAGTAGTCTGTGATACCAAATCTATCTCACTTCGGTATACATTAATTGGTATCAGAACCCTGATACCTATTCCCTATTACTAAATAATCCTAAAAACTAAAATTTAGATCCACCAATAAAAAATCCTACCTACTACTTGATGGTTATCATAATAACATGTTTAAAATCTTCTTTCACACTTCTTGTTGGAAAATGAGGGATATAAAAATAAAAAAAAATCAATAACTATGAATTATTAATTATCAGTAGCAAAAATATTATGAAGATATTAAAAAATAAAATCAACTAAATCCAAATATATTGGAGAAAACAAAAATTTAAACCTAAAGAGAAAGCACACCTGGAAGGAACATTAGGCTTGGGCCCAAGTCCAAACACCTTGCTGGTATTTTAGAAAATCAACATATTTTTTAAAAATAACTAATTTAGTAACCTTTATTAATCTATATGAAAATAATTAACTAAAATCTCATCTCGTCGGAGTCCTCTTTTTCTGGGACCTTTTTTCCACGAGAGGAGATGCTGGTGTGGGGAAAGTAACCAGAACTTGTCTACATGGTATTATGACTAGCTTTGCTCTCCCGGATGTGATTATTTGCTTAATATCTCTGCCATTAATCTCATTTAAGAATATTGGATTCTCTCATCATCAATGTTGATAAATTAACACTGGTTTAATCTAACTCTCATGACTTGTACAGAATTATAAATATATGTGCTTTGAATTTGGAAATAAACCAGGAAGAGCAAGAGTTGTTTATCATCAATTATCAAATCAAATAATAAACATAAATATTATAGCAATCATGATCAGAAAGATTAAATAATAAATCTCATAGAAATGCTAATTAGCATCAAAACCATGTTTATTTCCATTTATCTTTCCATCAGCAGCAATTTCAAATAACTAAATGGAATACTTCAGTGTTTTTTTTTCATTTATTATTTAGGCCATGAAATAGAACAACACAACGGAATTACCCAAACCACGCTAAGAGGCCTCAGCCTGAGGTGCAAATACCACACAAAACTAATGGGAATCGGATGGCATATTCGATGCTCGTCATAATGATGAGTATTTAGATTGATTTTAGATAGTTCAGATTGAATTGAAATTTTTTATATATTTCAATTAATTTTTTGTTTCAATAGATACATAATTTAAAATAAGAACAGTTTTATAACCAACACTTTTTAAAAATCTTTCACAAATAAATTATTTATATCAGATTTTAGATAGTCTAAATTGTATTAGAACGATGAGCACGGATCTGGTATCTGATCTCGTAGGAGGAGGCATCCGTGTGAGTAATTCCTAGTTTTTGGTATAGTCGTTCGCAGCATATGTGTGTGGAGCGCACGAGTGCTATCTTGAACTGAATAAATTGCCCCATGCCTATGCGTTTCATCTCATTTATGAACAGCTCGATCTTTTCTTCGTCAGCCCTTTCCCCGACGATGTTCAGAGCCGCTTTAATCTCATCCGCCGTGGGGGCATCCATCCCTGCCATCACATATACCAAAAACGCAAGACCGATCGCCTTCATCTTTGTCTTCACATTAAATTCAATTAATTTAATTAATTACATTAGAATAACAAAACAAATGTTAATCCTATGGAAGAATTCACAGAAGAGCACTTACTTGACTACGATAATTGTTGACAGCTCCAAAGGTTTGTGGAGATGAGAATGACTGAATGAGAATATAGACATAGGCAGCGATGCCTTTGATACGCGCGTGAGCCCACGTGACTTAAAATGCTGATAAAATATAATCAAAATCAAATCATTTAATTGCATTTATTTCCATTTGTTTTTCAATCAGCAATAATTTCAAATCATTGACATTACATGTTTTCTAAATAAAAATAATTTTAAAAAATCCTATTGGCCCGCCAAAAATGCTTTTTTTTTTCATTTTAAACGATTAATCTTTGGTTTACCTGGTCAGCTCTAGGTAATGAATATCGAAATCAAAATCAGAGGTATTAAATGGGATTTTTCCTATAATATGCTCCATAAAATAATCATCAATCAGTTGTGGTTAGCAGAACAGATTTCTAAGGACAGTGGAATAATTTATTTTTTTATTTAATTTTAATTTAAAATTTGTCCCTGTAAATCTTGTTCAGTTATATTGAATGCGTAGCTTTCAGATTCTTGACAGCATCTCACAAACATACAAGTTTTGTTGATTATTCCTTTATTTTCTCGTTTTTTTTTAATTTAGTTTGGGATTTATGACTGAAAAGTAACACAAATGGCAAAATGATTTAAAGCATAAAAATTATGCTCATGTAGCGAGACACCAAGCTCAACCTAACTTCAAAATATCACCCTCTCCATCTACGCAAACCAAATCCTGTCTTGGTAAGTCCTTTTTGTTTTTGTGATACACATAAGAGGCAATCCTATTCGAGATACTATTAAGTACTAAATGTTGGCACCTCTTTTAATAGGAATTCGAACATAAGTTCACCATGTTGAATTGGTAAGTCTTTTTTCTATACATAGGTATTCTCCTATTGGAGGCAAACATATTCAAGACACTGTCGGGCATTAATTATGAGTATTTCTCCTAGCAGAGATTTTAATATTGATTCGTCAAGTTATGAGGGACTAGTCTCTTCTATTAGATTTATCCCTAGTTGGTGTATCAAGAAGTTGACGGACACAGCATAATGCAAAGGACATGCCAAAACAGGCCCAACCCAAAAAATCCAATGCCCCTTCCGGAGTAGTCTCCTTGAAGCAGTGCGGGGCCCAAGCATCTTGCTGGATTCAGGCCCAAACTTTTTAAACTCGTTCGTCATTAGTTTGCTAAAGTCATTATGAAATCCGAGACAAGAAACTAATTGCATCTATATATTTATTAAATTCTCAGGCTCCTGATATAAGATGCACTTTGTAGTATACGGTTGGAAGTGTATCATGCAAAATTTGGAATTCATTCAGCAGGGTATATTACTGCAAGATTGATTGGCAACCCAAAGTGTAGTTTCAATCCCATGCATGAATCAACCAAATGGTTAATAGTGCGTGAAAATCTCTCTCTTCATTTTTTATGCAAAACATATATGAAGTGTAATCAACAAAACCAGTATCAAACCTCATTAATAATAAGCCTCTCACGGGATATTTTGTTGAGAAACTCGAAAGTACTAAAAAAACTATGGACATACAAGAAATATGTTCCTTTCATAAACTATTTATATAATCATTAATTCTCATTCTTTAAAGTTAAATAAACTTAATAGTTTAGTGGAAGAATGGTTAAATCCCTATTTCATTTTTTGTCTAATTAAATGTGCATTTCTTTTCCATCATGTAAATTTTATAAGAAAATTTACCCGATATACATATACATCAATTAAAGAAATGACAAAGTCAGGACTCTCACTTCAAATTTGACATAGAAATAAACTCAAACAAAAATCTCTCTAGGGAGGTTCAAAGAGACAATATAATAGAGAATGCAGGCTAAGAAGGGCCCAACCCAAAATACCCAATGTCCGTTCCACAATGGGCCTCCTTGAAGCAACGCAGGGCCCAAACACCTTGCTGGGTTTAGGCCCACGCCAGCATATCCAGCCTGTCCGGTCACAACAATAGACACAAAAACCGCTAACGCCATGGCTCCTGCAATCACCAAACACAGCATTGGCAGTCCCAAATGAACGGACATCCTCTTGTCAAAAGCAATGGTCACTCCCACAAACAAAACCACAAAAGTGCAACAAAATTCTATTAACAGAGCTTCTTGTTGCTTCAAACCACTAATAGCACAGCCTCCTAAGGAATATGTAAGTGCTAATCTCTCATCCATCACAGTCTTAATGATGAGGAAGCCAACAATGGAGCCAATGCACTGGGATATTATGTAAAGGAGAGCACGTGTAAGAGTTATGACTCCCTTTAAGGCAGCTATGAAGGTGAAAACCGGGCTCATGTGGCCTCCAGAGAGAGGCACAGTGACCATTAAGAAGAGGAAGGCTATGATGAATACTGCAAAAGGAACGAGAAGCTTTGGATCAGTCTCGTGGGAGTCCAAGCAAGCTATAATGGAGGTTGTGAGGGTGAACATTAGTAAGGCTGTGGCTACTAACTCTGTTAAAGCTGCCCTCCATACCTTCAACCAGAAACTGAAAAGGGCATCAGTATGTTTTTGGAAAGCCCTTGATTAACGTAAAATAACTAACTGATGTCAATTTAACGAGCAGTGATTCTATTACCTCTGGTCTGAAAACATCATGGGCTCCTATGGAAGCAAGACGTTTGGACCATAAGGGTTTCTTGCTAGCCGAGCACATTTCCCCATAAATCGTATCAGAGTTATTGGATAATTGTTCGTCTGCAACTTTGGAGTTTGATAGGTCCATTTGGCCTGAACTGTAAGAGAAGGGAATGGCTAGTTATAATTTCTTTTAAAAGAGCCACATTACTACGGAAGAAGATAAAACACATACTTGGATTTTAGCATGGATCTTACGTTAATTTTCCTGCTATATTTGCGTCTTTAGATTGTTGACTCTAGCCTTCGACGAGGCCATAATATACCGTGACAAACTAGCCTTCCACGACGCCGTAATATATTGTGGTTTTACTGTTTCCCCTAGGAATCATTTATCAAAGCAATGACTTTAGTTGTTTTTCGTATTAAGGAAACTGATTAGATGGTATATGCGTGAATGTCTATGACATAGATAGGTTTAAGCTTCACTCCCAAGAATATTCACGGGTCACCCTACACAAACAAGGTAATATGATTGATAGTTATATATCTGCAAACTGCTATTCCATAGATCAAGGCAACTTGTTAAACCATTACATCCAAATAATTAATTTTTTTCTGGGCCGAGAAAAAAAAGCAACTAAATATTCTACGACACTGATAAGTTTCATGTAAAATTATTAATAGTTTTATACATAGAAATTATCACCAGCCTAATAAGACAATAGTTACTCCATTGCGTTCTCCGTCCATAAATACATTCAAAGTTTCTTTTTCCGATTCATAGCATATGCCATTAACCGTAATGCCAAGCTATATAAAGTCAAATGAAACTAGCTATTGGAAACCTACGCAAAAACGTAATAGTGTCATCCTGTAGACATATGAGAGATGAGAAGGAGGATCAAGTAGAGCCATAATAAACTGCCCATACTAAGAATTGAAATACAGACTACTAAAGGGTACGTGAACTGTAGCTGAATGATACTTTCCTGTGCGTCGCTAAACCACAAAGCCTCTCATAATGCCTGCATTTGGTATTGTTTTAGGGCCCAAGTTTAATGAAAGGCTTGATGCTAAACTCATGAACTTGCTGTGACTCAAACATCATTAATGTTCACATCGCCGTCCTTTGCTTATGTTGAAAATTGAAACCTGGGAATCAAGTTGATGCTCGGTTGTTGAAACTTGCTATGAGCCAGATTCCTCGTAGGAATCTCCCACAAGTCTGAACCTGCATCAGTGAGCTCTGGTTGCGCCAACACGATCTGCCTATACCCCTCCTTGATCGAATTGCTTCCTTATACATCCCCAGGAGATCAGCTAAATGATTAGGCCGTAAACACATACAATGTGTGAACACCAACTCAACATGGCGCATGCGTAGTTATTGGGAAGACCACTATCTTCTCTATATTAGTTTTGGCAGAAAGACGACATACTCTGTCCTCCCAATAAACAGATAGCAAAAATATGTAGCTACTTTTTATTATAATTATAAGAAGGTTCCTTCAAGATTAATGCCTCCTAGCGAATACCATAATCTGCATCCATAACTATTATAGCTTAGAGAACCCGTTTGATATGAGAATGCATAAACGATTAAACGGCACCACCCTGTCCGACGTTGGCGCATCTTGAAATTTATTTCCACTACTAACCCCGTGAGCTTTTTGATGTTTAAGTAGCTCATAAGTAGTAAGCGGTAAAAAGGTAAATAAACACAATTCTTAACTACTAGCAAAAGTCTATTCGAGTTTTGTCCAAGAATTTGAGCTTTTTTCAGCCAGATCCACTAAAGGCCCATGAGGGCCAGACGAGAGATCAATCCCAATCCACTCAAGTTTAGACAATCAGTAGGCGAGCACCGTTAAATTTGTTTAATTAACCGGTAATTTTGTTAGCTTTAATTTCTATTGACGTGTATTTTAGAGGTTGCATTTGTTCATTTCCTAATTGGTGTTTCATATTCATGGGTCGCCGACTCTCTTATCTGTAATAATGGCCTAAGGCTTTTGGCCTTTTCCCTCTTGTAACAAATTTGGCCTTTTCTCTCTTGTAACAAATTCTCTTATAAATATAATTTTGGCTTTTTTTTTTTTTTGGTGATGCTCAGAACTTTGACTGAGCATTTCACGAGTTCTCTCCCTCTCACTCCCCCTCCCTCTCTGGTTTCCTATGTAATTCAGAATAATTTAGAAATGATGCCAGCCCAATCATGAGTTGCTTAAAGCCCGAAACTCTGTTTAATGGTTTTATTTAGATGAGGAATATATTTCTAAAATATTAACAGATATATCAAACTAAAGGGAAAAAAAAAGGCATGTGCAAAAATACGTAGAATTTTAAAAGTCAATATGTGATCATCAGTTGAAAGTAGGATGTGTTTCTTTGTCTCGCTAACAAGCTTGAGTTTTAGGAGGTATTTGACAATCCTTAAAAGTGCTTCTCAGAAACACTTTTCCGCAAAATGAGGCAAACTCCTTCACATATTTACTTCGTAAACCGTAAAAGCACTTTTAAAACTATGGTTTGGTTTCTATCCAAACACCCTATTAGTATGAACAATGAGCCGGCACTGCACTAGAAGGTACTAAATGGGACAAAAGGACACACCTGATAATCGAATTCTGCGCGGACAGGAGTGGAATCTTTGGCAGTTTCTTAGACAATCCTCTTTGAGAGAATTTTATTGATTAGAGTTAGTTGATATTTCCAATGATCCTAGGTTTTGTCCCGGTAAGATAAGGAGAAAGAGCACCTAACGGATTTACCCAGAGAACTTCCCTTCTTCCCTGATAAAGGCAATTCCTTGTCTAGGATTCTTGTGACACCCCATAGCAACCAAAAAGGGGGGATATGGCGCCGAAACTTCATCGCCTGCGGCCTCAGGCAGTGAAGTTAATGCTGCTAGTTGCATTATGCACTTTGTCAGGCACTGAACTTTTCATTTTATGTACTTTGTTTAGCTCAGTTTGCAGAAGCTGCAATTATATGCTGCAAACTGAGATTCTTCTTTCCTCTATTATCTTTTTTCCCTTTTCTCATTTGGTTCTAATGCTAATCTGCAGATTGCTATGATCCCTTGGATTCAAGCGGAAACATTACAGTAACTATTGACATTTACGGGAGAACGGACGATGGGTATCTGGTCAGTACTCACTGCACAATGCAATCACTCGAACTTTGATTTGATTGTTAAACCATATATGCAGGGATATAGATTTGAGAATGAAAATTGAAGTTCCAAATAACTTGTCAATTTTCCGCAGTATAGGCAAGAACTGGGAGTTGATTCTTTCGACTCCAATTGAAATAACTGATTGGCCTTGATATTTTGCATACAACATGAATTTAAGAAGCAAAACTGCAACCTAGCATGAATATATTGTACAGGCAAGGGTGACTCTGCAAAACTATTATCAATATCGTCATGTAACCAAACCAGGTTGGAAGCTTGGATGGACATGGACTAACAAAGAGGTGATCTGGTCGATGAAAGGGGCCTTCGCCGTTGATAGAGGAAACTGCTCAACTTACACAAACCCAATACCACACTCCTGCATGGAAAATCCCACAATAGTTGATTTCAGTTCAGATGTCTCAGAAGAAAGCAGATTAGAGAATTGCTGCCATGGTGGCCTTCTTTCCGCTTGGGCTATCAATCCTTCGAATTCGCTCTCTTCATTTGAACTCAAAGTAGGTAACCTGGCAAATGGTTCACTGGGACACGCACCTAGTAGCCTCACGTTAATGGCCCCAGGTCCTGGTTACACTTGTAGCCCACTTCTTGATACTGATCCCACGATCATCCCAGATTTTGGAGGACAACGAAAAGTTCCTGCTTACAGTAAGTGCTCATAACATAAAGACAATATGGAATGTGGCGTTTAGAAAGGATTAGTGTTTCTTTTGCTGTAGGATTCAAGGAAAGCACATGCATTTCCTCGCTAATCAATGAGTTCCTTCTCATAACTATGAAAAGCATGAGAAACACATGGCAAATTACATACTAAGAAAAGGTTTACATGGTTGGACAAACAAAATAAAATTACAACAACCACGTATATGTGCAGGATCATTCCTTTCTATCACTCCTCCTAATTGTATACAACATTTTACAATCCAGGAACGTGGAAGTCAAAATGTACGTACTCCAGTTTTCTAGCATACCAATCACCAGTATGCTGTGCTTCGCTCTCAACATTTTACAATCCTACCATTACATCATGCCCCAGTTGCAGCTGCGGATGCCCAGAAGCGGCAAAAAGTACAAAGACTTGCATAAGGTATACTTTTAAACCCTCATTTGGACGTAGTGTCACGACGTTGTCTCCGGTCCAGGCCCCACTCCTCTTACTCTGTGTTTATCTAACCAGGCCAGTTGGTTTCTCATCACAGTCAAATTATGACAATGATCGCGACATAATACAATGCACTGACCACATGTGCCCAATTCGAGTCCATTGGCATATTAAAAACAACTATAGGGATCACTGGAGAGTGAAACTTACAATTTCTAACTACATCCGCAACAGAAATTACACAAACTGGAATCTATTGGTTCAACATCCTGGCTTCAGCCAGCCAACAACAACGTATAGCTTCAACAGCACAGTGCTACCCACCGTTGGCTTTCAAGGTACTTAATGCATAATATTTCATCGGTCATATGCTTCATTAAATAACATCCAAGTGTCCTGTTGCTATGTTTTGAAGATGTGTTTCAGCTACAGATACGTTCTTATCTCATACTGTGAGAAAAGGTAAGCCCTTCAGCAGGTTTTTTCCCATCTGAAATAATACTTCTAGGCCGAATATTTCGAGAGATCCGAACTCCCTCAAGTACCACTCTCTATTGTTCCATCGCCATTAGGATTACTACTGCCCCAATCTTGTCATCTAAAACCTTATGTTCTAGTTTCTTTAACCTCAAGGTAAATTTCTAGCTACTAAGATACATGATTCCCCCTGGAGCCGTCGAAAGCCTTCTTACGAGGAAATGGAACTCTCTTAAACTCGCTTAGCAAATACTTCTGCACAATTCGATCGCCCCTAGTCAAGCCGGTCACACCGACTCCATCTGGATCTTGGAGAAGCGGGTTACGCAGAGGGTTCAGAACCTCCAAATTGGACTTCAACATCTTATCCTTCCTCAGAAAGTCACCCTTCTTATCGAACCACTGACCCCAACCTTCTCTCAGCGGCGAGACTTTCCTGCCAACTTTCAACAGGAGTAAATCCTCTATCCCCATCACCTGCATTGCTTTCCTCCTGACCTCCTCGTCCACCGGCACATCATCGGAGCCAAACGCGGTCTTGCTAGGATCTTCCGCCCCAGATCCCAGAAAAATCCCTACTTGACCATCGTCCCATTCCTCAATCGAACGTTTGTTAAAAGCGCTCCGGATTAACCCGCTAACATGATCAAAGAAATACCCACTAGGTTTGATCTGATTGAACGGTTCCTCCTCTTCAGCGACTTCAACAGATCTCAGATCATCTACCTCCGGCTGTTGCTCTTCCACAAAATCAAGCGCGTCAATCTTGTCTTCGCTGCCCAAGGTTTCGTCATTGACGGAATCTGACAGGAGTGAGTCGTAATTGCCATCGCGTGAATGTCTGGGGTTTCGGTGGAGGTAATTATGGAGGTGAGCGCTAGAGTGAGAGAGGCGAGTGTAGAGCAGAGACACAGAGAGCAAGAGGAGAAGGGCCGAGGAGGCGGCGCAGATGAAAGCGCCGTAACGGAGGCGGCGCCGGGTTCGGAGATTTCGGAGCATGTTCAGTGTCCACGGGAGTGACGCGAAAACTGGAGGAGGTGGCAGAGCTGACAAAGCTTGTGATCGGAGCAAACTAGTAGAAAATTCCTCCATCATTAATAATTGATATTCCCCTTTTTCCTTTAAAATATTATCCCTCCTATTTTAAATATAAGATTTTTTTATTATTCTAAATATCTTATATTTAAGACTGAGGAGTAGTTTGGTTTTTATTCAAATATCTCAAACACGTACGGATCAAAGATTTTTGTTCTTTTTTTTTTTGTTTCCTGCCTGCGAAGATTTTTGTTCTTTAATTTTGCAATTCCCTTCATCATGAATCATTAATATTTTAATCCAATAAAATATAATAATCAACAAATCTTTTTAATTGTTGTTATATTTAGTATTACCTCCAATCCTTTCTATAAGAGCTAATTGATTAATTTGAGTATATTAAAAAAATTTATTAAATTTGTTGGTTGTAATAAACAACTGTTGTCTTTTAAAAATACCCTTACTAATCATATATGTTATTTAGAATTGCTATTTGATAAAAATTTAATATTATAATGACTACTTTAAAAAATAGATGAATATAAGAAATAAAATAGACTGAAATTTTATATTTAACATCAAATTAAAAATTAAATTAGTTCTTATATTAAACAGAAGAGATAGTATTAAAAAAAACAACAAAATAGTCAAACAGATACATGTTATGTAAATAAAATTGGAAGTATGAGGATTGAGGATTGAGGATTGCTTTAGGAACAAAATGTGGCGAAAACGTAGGAGAGACATGGATTCTTGGGTGTTGTGTTTAGAGCTTGCAATTTGCATTACATGAATATGTATTAACAGAGTGGGCATGCGGTTGCAGATGAGGTGGCACTGTTTTGGGGGATAGAATACTACAACGACGTACTGGTGCACTCTGAGGAGGATGGGTTGGGGTACGTGAGCACAGAGATACTGTTGAAGAAGGACCTTCACAGCTTCACTCTCACCAACGGCTGGGCTTTCCCCACCAGAGTTTACTTCAACGGTGAAGACTGTCAAATGCCTTTGCCTGACGCCTTCCCTGCCCTCCCTAATCCTGCTCCCTTCTCCCATTTCCCTTCTCTTCTTCTCCCTCCTCCTCACCACGCTTCTCCCCTTGCCTTTTATCCGTTCATGATCACTATTTGTATGCTCTTTTCTTCTTTCTATTTTCTCCAGAACATCTCTCTCTCCTTCTGTAGTTAGTTTCTTCATGAAATTCACAACAGCATTAATTCCTATAAACTAAAACATACTGACTTAATCATCTACAAGGAGCATAAGTAAAATTTTAACACAAATGTTTCTGTCATATAAAATAAGGCATTGATCCCGACAGCAACACCCAGGCTGATAGCTGAGACACTTGCTCTGCAGCTATGTTCGTCTTCACATCAGAAGTACGCGATGGGAAAGAGAGGAAAATTATGCAAAAATCCGAATGAGATAGTTGCTTTTCCTCTCAAAAACTACTCTTCATGAGTTTTTTCCCTCCCCTACACTTTCACCAATACAGATTCCAAATAACCATCATTTTGCTTTGAATCTTGTCAACCCTTTTGTTTGGTTTAAGAAAGAAAGGAAGCAACTTCGTTACACCGAAAGAAGAAGAAGAAGCGCACAACTTCAATCTTCTATTCAGTTTGCTAGGAAGTTGGGCCATGGGTTTGAATACCCGATCGATAAATAGTGGATCCAACTACTAAAATCCAACAGATTCTGGGCCTACCTAAACAATAAAACTTGTACCCAAAAAAAAATCAATTTACATTCGTTCCTGCGAGGCTAAATCAATGCTTATCATGTGTTTTGTACACACAAAAAAATGCTTATCATGTGGCGCTACCTGGAAATCCCACCGTCACGGTGTCCTGAAGTAATTTAAGCTTGGAGCAACATAAAACTACCAGTCTTCATGTTTTTCGTTGTACTTGAAGGAAAAAAAACTAGTGGTCTTACTTTTTTTTATACATCTATATTTTTTATCCAATTATTTCATACAATAATATTAGATGCAATTCAAGTATTATCAGATCTCATTAAAAATATAGAGTTTTGATATATGATGAAAAATTTTATATGATGAAGCCATGTTATTAGTGAATTAGATAGGATTTTTGTATTTGCTTCAGTTTCTCAAAAATATTTTCACCTAAATTGAGATAAAAAATTTTCTGCATATTTACCCCTAAAATTATTTTTTAAAAAGTTACAACCTCCGGTCTTTAATATAAGACTTTGTTTGACTTTTATTTTGGTTCTAAATATAAGATATCAATCCATTTTGTCTCTATGTTTATACAATTTTTTCTAAAATAGTCATTATAATAATTGTAGTTTTAGCCAACACACTTAATTAACAAGGATATTTTAGAAAAGACAACACGTATTTATTAAATAATTAATTTAACTTATTTTTTTAATCTCTTTAAATTAATTAATTAGCTCTTATAATCATAATTAGGACTGGAAGTAATAATTCACATACATGCTAGTAAATGGAAGTCATAGACAGCAAGCGCGGGTAGGTCATGCGAGAAGTTGAGAGCAAAGATTCTGTGGGATGGATGGAGAAGGTGACAGAGTTCATGTGCGCACATGATGGCACTGCCCAGATATGAAGCATGCTCGTGCTCCCCCTAATTATAATCCATTATAATATGTGCTCCTTAATCCTTGTTCGATCCACTCCTATTCTTTCCTCCAAATTGCCACGTTCCTAACTTCACATTTATGGCTTTACATCAGCGCTATTATTAGTAGTTTACACTATTTCCAGCCATATCACAGCAAAATAACGTTTATGCAATTTTTTTTGTTTTACAAGTATACTCTTTGGGTTCTTAATATAGAACCTTATTATTAAGTTAATTTTGATCCTAAATATGAGACGTATTTTTCATATTTATCAATTTTTTTCTAAATTATTCGTATAGATACTTCTTCAACCATAATCAAATAATTGCGGGAAGGAGGATATTAAGAAAGATGATTATGGTATTTTAGAAAATACATATCATATTTTTTTAATTAACTAATATACTTAACTTCTTTAATCTAATCAAATATAAATATGTCTTATATTAAGGACCGGATGAGTACCTCATTATCCTGTTATAAGTTCTTGTAATTCTCAACCCATTATATATGCATCAAGAGTGTATAAATATTCAAAGAACTTGTTACCTGCGACGATAAGCTCAAACTCCAGAGGATCATACTACATGGATTTATGCCCTATTCTTTTTTTCTTTTTTTTTTGCCATGGATTTATGCCCTATTTCTCATTGAGGTGGTCTTCTTACTTCTTAATCACTTGTCTACCTCGCTCCATCTCAATTCCCAAATCAACCATCGTCCTCTGGCCTCCATCATTATTAGATCCTAATAATGTGAAATTAATGCCTTTTAGGGTCAGTCCAAAAAAAGAAAAAGCCTTTTAGGGACCATACTACTCTCAGGACAAGACACTAGGTGTGCTTGTGAAACCTCGTGCCTAATGCTTATTATTCTTTCCCTGTTTTGGTTTGTTATGCTTCGTTATTGCATTTATGGCTTCCCTGTTTTGCTGTTGAGCTGTGTTTATGAGTGAATTAATTCTATGATAGAAAAGAGATTGTGAGCTGTGGCCATTCTTTATTCCCTCCACTTATTTTCTGGCAATAAATGATCGATAGCTCAATTATTTTTTCAAATCTGATAAAATAACAAAAGACGTCTAATGGCCAATAATCATATAAAATATAAAAAAATTAGACAATTTATATGACTCAGATGGTATAATAGAGCTCGTTTTAAGCTCTGTATGCGCATATGGCCATATGGGTACCTTTTAGAAATTTGGATTCCCTCAATTTGTAATTTCTTCTATTTGTCTTAATTTTAAATTCTACTGGTTGAATCCATCTGCAAGTTCCAATTAATTACATTTATGAATATGTAATTCAAATAAAATATTAAAGAGATAAATATCGCATCCCCTGATTTCCAGAAACTTTCAATTAAAATTTATAATCTGAAAAAAAATAAAAGATAGTAGATGTCACCTCCTCCGATTAAGAAGAAAAAGAGCGCAACAACCATTCAGATCAAGTTAATAATTAGAAGTAAAAATTAAGATAAATTGAAGGAATTGCTGATGCGCGATTGGGAGATTCAAATTCCCTTTCGACTTACTCATAACAAATGTATTTTCAACTTTTCAGGAAAGAAAATCAAAACTTTCATTACGTAAATTAGTAGTAATTTTTTTTTTTTAATTTGTTTTGTCCTTGCATAGCTCGTAGCCTCGTACTTCCTCGCGCGTACATAAAAGCATGTACTGATTTGATTTGGTAGTTATCTTCAAAAATAATTTGCCACCAAAGGAGTTTCGTGAGCACTGATTTCGGTTTCCCCGAACTCAAAAACCTATTGGTAAAATAGAAGAAAAGTCAGAAAACGCAACGACAAAAGCATAGGGCTTTATCAAGACCTTAGGACTCTGGAAGCAGCTGTGGCTCTTCGTGGCGACCAATCAGACGCTGGGAAGGGAGCCATGGCTGATCAACCTCAGAAGCGACCTGTTTCCAGCATCGTCTTCATCATTGGTAATCTCCAATCACTGACTCCCTCCTCCCCCTCCTCCCCCTCCTCCTTCTTCTCTGTAATCTCTGTTCTATCCCTTCCTCATTTTTTTTGTGGTGATTTTGTTTTTTGTTGTTGACTACGTTAATTTGGATCAACAGCTATGCAGTCTGAGGCGCTTCCTGTTGTGAATAGGTTCCAGCTCACCGAGGACACTAACTCTTTGTAGGTGTTTATCTTATTGATCATTGCTTTAGCCTCTCATAATTTCTAGAATGCTTTTAGATGGTGTTTGTAGATCACTTTGTTTTATTCAAGTCCAGACGAACAAGTTCTTTGACCTCTTGCTGTTGAGTCAGTCTCAGCGTAGAAAGAGAGAATCTCTAGCGTAATGTGTTCCTTAGATAGTTAGTTTCGAACTTTTTTCCTGCTGTTAGATTTGACTTAGTCCTGCTTTTTCCTGCACGGTTTTTACCGTGGCCTTGTACTGAAAAAAAAAAAAAAAAAGGTTTGCTAGTTTCGAACTTTTTAAAGACTAAATAAATGATTACTCTTGAAAGATCATTTTTCTTTTAATTGGGTTCCTGAAAATTATTTTTTCTATTACTGTCATTCATTAAAGATAAAACCTCTATTTAATTCTCTAAACACGTTCTCAATGAAAATATCCCATCATTAGGTAAGGAGTGGATTGATACGCACTTTCTCAGACATGTTAAGCTTCAAAATGACGTTTTTGGATACCTAGTTTTTGGTATATCAAGGAGCTCCAAATCCTTTTGGCAGTGTCCATTTTGAAAGATAGAAATGTTTGGGGAACAAAATTAAGGGATTTTTGAATGATCAAGTTGAAAGAAATGTCATCTTCTAGGGCCTAAATTGAGAGGCTGTCTTTTGAGGGTCAACTGGGGAGAAGAATGATCTTTAATGACTAAATCAATTTTCTGTTTTGGCTGAAAAAAAGGACTAGGAAAAGTTCACTGCCTGTGGAGGAATGTGCTTAGGAGCAATTTTGAACTATAGAAAATATTTGCATATCATATTTCCATTGCAGAATTTGATGATGAACACCTAAAGATTGTATCGCAGGTCTGTCCCTTTATTAGAATAACGCATGCATGTTCAGAGCTGACATCCTTAATTTAGTTCTTTTTCCCTCTTTACCTAGTGGATAGAGGTAAAATAGACTGTTGTGGGTTTTGATGCTTTTCATATATTCATATCTCTATGTCTTTCCACAATGGTGCAGGTTTCCACAAGGGGTCCCTTGGGTTTGCTATAGTGGAACATACAAAAATCTCAATATAAATTTAATCTGGCCTGGGAAAGATCCAACTCTGGGTAAGCTTTTGTGTTATTTCAGTTTATTTCCTACTGCTTTTGGACTAACCTATCAAAACATATAGGTACCTCTAGTAGACATTAGCAAAAAATTATCAATTTTTCCTTTGATTCTTCTCATCTTATAATGGAAAAGGTAAAGCCTTCAACGTTTTGCTTGTTGACTATGACGCGATTAGTCTTCAATAGAAGACTTGTGACAATGAGGGCATTTGATTGTGTTGCTATTTGGTAATAAAATCGTAATCATTTCCACTAAATGAAAACACGGGCGTCTCTAGTACAAGAATATCCTAGTGGCATTGTTGCCCGTTTGATTTGCTAATTCCAGGAAGACTAGACCCTTTTAAATTTTAGTCTACATAGCATGGATCTTTACTGGCAGCACGCTGCTAAATATCAAAGTCGGCCCCGGGCCGCCCCCAAAAAAAAAAAGGCATTTGTAAGGAGCATATAGTAAGAAAATGGGAGTTTTAGTTTCAGAATTATGTGCTGAGTTGCAGCCATTTCTTTCAGGGGTTGATAGTGTGGGCACCGTATCATCTTCTCTTGTAACATATGCTGCTATTCAAGCATTAAAGCCAGACTTGATCATAAATGCAGGCACTGCTGGTGGCTTCAAGGTATGAAATATTGTCCCCTCTCAACAAATTTGATATGATTTATCTTTAATTATTATTTATAACATCAAGTTGCATATTATGTTGCTTTATTTCTTCGAATCTTTCCAATTTATTAGCTTTGGATCTGCTTGATACTGAATCTTATTTCTTTGTTTCTCATAAATCAATCCATGGTAATATTTGCTGTAATCAATTTTCACTCTACTTGAGCTTTTGCTTTTGCCTTTGCTTGTGAAGGAAATAGTTGCGCACTACTTTTATAATACACCTAATACCTTATAGAGTGATTCATGTTGCTGAAGAGATTCTGATGTCGAAAATGTGCGCTTGTATGCATATGTACAAGCATGGTTTTATAATTTACTGTTTGTGAATTCTTTCAGGCAAAAGGAGCAAGTATTGGTGATGTTTTCATCATATCAGATTGTGCTTTTCATGACAGAAGAATACCCATACCTGTGAGTCTTATTCTTTAAATGTGGTCAATGGCCCTGGTTTGTCAACTGCTCTTCCATATGGCATAAATTCATTACATGCATGTGAGAGTGAGGGGCAAGAATTTTTTGTTGTTGTTGTTTTATTTTTAATTTGTGTTTTCAGCTACATATCGGGAGATATTATAAGATAAGAAATATTATTCTCCATGGTGAAAGAATTTCATTGGAGTGAGAGTAATAAAAGAGTGAGTGATAGGATATCCTCCAAGTGAAAGGCGGGGATGTAGTTGCTTTGTATACTTTTGGTACTTTTTTTTTCCAGCTTGATGGTTTTATTGTTAATTTCAAAGTATAAAACTTAATTTGGTATCTATCATTTATAAATTTATGTTTGATTTTGCTTATAAATTTTGATGTCCTCAAAAGCTTGTGTATAATGGTTTACATATGCCATGTTCGTTTGGTGGATGCATAATCCGTATCCTGCAGCTAGGCAAGATTATAAATTCTCTTTAATATTAGAATGATAGACCTAACGAGCATACCAAGCAATATGAATGTGCTTATGCAGTTATGCATGCTATTTAAGCTTTGCTATCAGCAAACAATCATATTCAACTTTCTTTTGCAGGTTTTTGATTTGTTTGGAGTTGGTTCACGCAAAGCTTTTGAAACACCCAAACTTGTAAAGGAACTTAATCTGAAGGTACTATGCGCTAAACTGCATATATTCCAAGTGTGTATATATAATTAATATGGTTTAGATAAATAATGAGTCAACATACGAAGTTTGTTGCTGCATCACAATGCTATATAGCTGTTCATGAAGGCTGTTGAGTGAATATAATAGCTCATTTGAATGGGATCCGGATCGTAGTTGCATGTCAATGATTGAAGTTAACTGGTGAACAAGATATATATTCTATGTGAAGTGCGTAATAAAATTTTTTTGAAACATTCCATGTCCTCTGTTTTGCTCTATTTTAACAAAGCTTCACATCAACGCCCTTCAGTTTGCAGATATACTAAGCTGCATTTGCACATGCGCTGGCACTAAATTCACACAGATGTTGTTTGATTTATTATATTATTTGTTGTTATTCCCACATTAAGGCTTGATAAAGAGGGTGGTTTGGGAGCGGGAGTAGAGCAACGTATGTTTAAAAGCTAAAGGGATGTGGTAGTCCCATACCCCAATTTCAAACCTCTCAAATGGCATCACAAAGATAATTCTGTAAACTCTTCAAACCTACCCCGTTCCCCTAATGGCTTCATAACATTCACTCAAGGGAGAGTGAGACGCGCTTCATTTTTTCCATTAAACTTTCAATCAATGGAGTGGGTCATATCCCCCATCCCATCCCCTCCTCTCCATGCTACTACAATGCACCTAACTCTTTGAAATTCCTAATCAAGCCCTTAAATGACTTCAGGCTATTCTTTAATGTTGAACAATGGGTGTGAATATTTCAGGTTGGTAAGCTGTCTACTGGTGACTCTCTAGATATGACGCAACAGGATGAAGCAGGTATTATTGCAAACGATGCCACAGTTAAAGATATGGAGGTAAACTATTTTGTTCCACCTCTTATAAACCAAGCGGTAGAGAGGCTTTCTGCTCCCTAATTAGCAATTTATGAAATCCACAAATTCTTTTTTTCTTTTCATTTATTTTCTTTTTGGTCGGAAGAAATCTACATATTCATACAATGAAAACTTTTCATATTTGTGCTATAATTTCATATTAGGCTATGCTGTATAGAGAAGTTTCAAGAAGATGCTGATGATTGGTGACATCACCCGAGTCTATATTGCATTTTGATTTATCAAAAAATTCTCTCTTGCCCTCTTTTTTGTTTTTCCCTAATAAAAGCCAAAGATTCTGGAAATTTCACCCTAAATCCTAACCCTAACCCTAACCGTAACTCATAACTATTTGTTCAACTGAGGAAGTCAATAGCAAATTACAAAATTGATGAAACTCTAGACCAAATTTTGGTCTCTTACGGTTACAATATAATAGACACTTCTCTGCATTTTGCTTCCTCCATCACCTTTATTTGCTTTTTACGTTATCCTGCACTAAACACTATTGTTTTGAATTCCTTAATGTTTCAGACCTCGTTTTATTAGTTCAGCCTAAATCACTTCAATCCACAAGCTATTGCGCCAGAAAAATGGGCAATATGAAAAGTTAAATTAGTGCCTCTCTTTCTTATGTAACTAAATCGGTCTATATGTTTTTGTTTTGCTTTGTTGAATGAAGTATTTTTTCTCCATTTGAACTCTTATCTCCAGGGAGCAGCAATTGCCTATGTTGCTGATTTGTTGAAGGTCCCTGCAATTTTTGTAAAAGCTGTCACTGATCTTGTTGACGGTGAAAAACCAACTGCAGAAGAATTCCTTCAGAATTTGGCTGCCGTAACTGCTGCACTTGATGAAGCAGTGGATAAGGTCATTAATTTTATCAGTGGAAAGTGCTTATCTGAACTTTGAGAATCTAATTACACCTTATACCCGATTTTTAATATTATAATGTTACATTATTGTATTACACTACCTTTGTTTGGGATTTTATGCCTTTTATGCAAAATAGCAACAATTTGTAGGTTGATATAGATATTGCAGTGGTTGCCGTACAAGTGAGCTAGCCAAAATGATGGCTCTCATCCCGCAGATGTCCATTGACATCTTTTGATGGATTGCATTAAGCCTAATGATTCATTGTTGCTGCTGGAGATTGTGGTAAAGAAATGATGGTTTGAGGAGCTAAATTTTTTAATGGATGTTCCTTATTAAGGTCCAAGGTTGTTGTATGTCAATATCAAGAAGGTCATGGTATGATTAATTGTTATGTTATTACATTGATCAAAACACCTTACGTGTTTGATAGCCCATGTTAGCTGGTGACCGTGGTCAATTTACTGCCACCAGTAATTTTTACTCCTATATGTTCGGTCGCACCATTGGCATTACCAGCATTCTCGTTCAGTGGATGTGAGCTGTGAAACTTAAGATGAGGATAACTAACGTTTAATTGTCCTCTAGACTGTTATTACCATCGGATTTTCTGCAGTTTCTCCAGAGTTTTACGAACGAAAGTTATACCACCAGAACGTCGTGAAAACACACAGAAAAGAGAAGTTGCAGACAAATGATATTGAATATATTACTTTTAGTACTTAATATAAAACCGGGTTGACTAATTTTAAAAAAATTAAGAAATTACTTTAAATTATTTGTTTTTAAAAATTAATTTGTTTCATTTATAAATTGATATATAACCTAATGATCTACATAAATATTTTAAAAATATCATGTAATACATGTTATAATTAATTTAATAATTTTTTTAATATCTTAAAATTAGTTAATTATGTTTTCTATTAAGAATTAGAGTAGTACATGAAAAAGATATGTTTATGAAAATGATATGTTTATATCAACAAGGATGTAATTCACCTAAAACTGAAACTAAACACCTACCTATTAACTACTAGCATAATCTCCATGAGCTTGTTGCTTTCCATCTAATACATATTTTATAAAACAATTGTAAACTTCATGTCTCACCCAAAACAGTGTTGTCATGCCTGAGCTCCAACCGTGCACATGCTTGACAGATCATATAAGCCAGAGTCCTGCCTCATCTGCGTCAGCTCTCTGGAGAACATTCGCTGCGGGTGAATTGAAAGTAGGAAATATGGGAGAAAAGGGTAATGTTCAGAAAGGAGTAACAAAGCAGGCTAACCCTGGGAAGGCTACGATCTTAGCTCTTGGCAAAGCTTTTCCTCATCAGCTTGTGATGCAGGAGTATTTAGTTGACGGGTATTTCAGAGACACCAATTGTGATAATCCTGAGCTCAAGCAGAAGCTCACTAGACTTTGTGAGTTTCTACTTCCCGCAATTTTTTCCCGTTAGGACTCAGCTTTCACAGGCTTATCAACTATCATTTTAAAAAGTTTTAAACGTGGCATTTTTATGAAACTTGCTTGGCTTATTCACTGAGTTCATGGTGTGTAAGCAAACAGGCAAGACAACTACAGTTAAAACAAGGTACGTGGTGATGTGTGAGGAGATACTGAAGAAGTTTCCAGAACTGGCGGTTGAAGGGCTTCCAACGGTAAAGCAAAGGCTAGAAATATGCAACGAGGCAGTGACGCAAATGGCAATTGAAGCGTCCCAAGTTTGTGTCAGGAACTGGGGCAGGCCTTTATCAGACATAACCCACTTGGTCTATGTCTCTTCAAGCGAAGCCAGACTTCCAGGCGGAGACCTTTACCTAGCCACAGGTGATGCAGCGCACAATAGGGAATGCTCAAACTCCTCACTAATCTCTCACATAATGAATTAAGATCCTATGATATTTAGGTTGAATCTTCATAATTCCACTCTAACTTCTAGTTTAGTCACCATTGCTAAAGATTTGTGTTGAAATTTTGTTATATTTTTGCAAATTTCTAATTTTGTGCATAGAAGAGAATAAACTGAACAGATAATTATTAACTTTCATCTTTTTATATTGCACATTAGGTCTAGGACTCCATCCTCAGACCCAACGAACCATGCTTTATTTCATGGGATGCTCTGGAGGCGTCTCTGGCCTTCGTGTTGCGAAAGACATTGCAGAGAACAACCCGGGAAGCAGAGTCCTTCTAGCTACTTCCGAAACTACAATTATTGGGTTCAAACCACCTAGCGCAGATAGACCCTATGATCTTGTTGGGGTGGCATTATTTGGGGATGGTGCTGGAGCCATGATAATCGGGTCGGATCCTATAGTGGGAAGCGAAAGGCCTCTCTTTGAGCTTCACACAGCAGCACAGAAGTTTCTGCCCCACACACACAAGATAATCGATGGGAGATTAACAGAGGAAGGGATCAGCTTCAAGTTAGCAAGAGAGCTTCCCCAGATAATTGAAGACAACATTGAAGGGTTCTGTGACATGTTAATGGCGGATGTTTTGGGGTTCAACGAGGATAAGGATTATAACAAGCTGTTTTGGGCTGTTCATCCGGGTGGTCCTGCAATTTTGAATCGGATAGAGAAAAGGCTTGATTTGATGCCAGAAAAGCTGAATGCAAGTAGAAGGGCTTTAATGGATTATGGAAATGCCAGTAGTAACACTATAGTGTACGTACTGGAGTATATGATGGAGGAGGGCCTCAAAATTGAGAGGGATGGCAGAGATGCTGCTGAATGGGGATTGATTCTGGCTTTTGGACCCGGGATTACTTTTGAGGGAATTCTTGCCAGGAACTTAAGTGCCTGATTGGTTACTTAAAATCATGCGAGTTCTGAACTTTAGAAAAATAATAATAATTTACCAGCCACAAGTTTATATTAAATAAATTTTAAAAAGACCTGTCTTACTTTTATTTCCAATCGTCCTTCATTATCCTATTCTGTGGTTTACTGTATAAGAAACAGTAACAAGGGAATGGTAAGGCAGATTTACGCTCGCTACTAAAGGTAATTAAAACTTGAGCATGTCACGCTAAAAAGGAGAAGAAAGGAAAAAAGAAAGAAACTGAACGCCGACACTCTAAGCGATTAGAAATCTTGTGTACAAAGTATGTTCGACTACAGAATACAAATTACGTACTGTAAGTGTAAACGTAAACATTCGGTTACTTTTTTTCATCAAAAAAAGAATCATCTTTCGCATCACGAGACATGGGCATCTAAAAGTGCATCAACACGAAATGCTTGAAGCGAGGATGACCAGACCAGACCAGACCAAACGTGTTGGCAGATTAAGTTAAATCCAAGTGAGAATGGGCTCATCGCAGAAGATCTTCAATCACACCACTCCAGAGGGAAGACGGAGAACAAGCTGTCCCCCAAGCACACTGCGATGGATCAAATGGGGTTAAAATTATGTCTAAAAATATTGTTTAGTAGACTAACAATCAGATCTAATAATTGTTTAGTCCATTTAATTTTATCCAAGTGCACCAGTTAGCTCCTAAGGATCATAAACTCATTGCACACTAGTTCGTTTGTCAAGGGATCCAGAGATGCTAAGAACACCAGCAAGTAGTTTGATATTTTCAAAGACTAACTCGTGTACGCGCATTAAGTTTTAAGGACAGTCTAAATAGGCCTTAAAACTCATGGACCAACTAGAGTACTCAATCTCTTTTGATATTCGCAGTGAAGGCTGCAAGGGAAAGGCGGCAGGATGATAAAAAAGCTGTAAAAATCAACCAACCTTTTGACATAGTAGTAGCAAAAATCCGCCAAGATGAAAGTCTGGACAATTTCTGAGATGAGAACCATCGGCGGCCACAAACCATATCCCAGGGCAACCAACAAATGCCCACGGCTATCTAAGACCTGTCACAAGAATGTAATATGTTAGTAGTATCCTCGCCATTATGACTTCACATGCAGTATTACAGTTTAAAACTCAAAAAAGACAACATTGAAAAGGTAAATTAGATGTGAATGCAAACGAGTATTCCTATTACTAAGCTATAAAGATTTTGTCAAACCCAAATTTATCGACTTAAATGTGAACACTTGGTCTTTTGATCAATAATAGGTGGCTAAAGCATATGAATCAAACAGGTAAGTGGGTAACTAAAGCAATTACAGATTTAAATTAATCAAGAAAATTGTACCTGAAGAACCCAATGAGCACAGCTTAAGAATCTCGCTACACCCAATGCAAATACATAATGAGCTGTGAAGGGCTCAACAATCTGAAAGTATAAGGTGAAATGAGCTATATAGAAAGGTTAACAGAGTGGATCCTACGATTGTAGGAACAGTGCTTTCAAGCTAAGAGAATATACTTTGGTGTTCTGCATGACCCGCAGTTGGGGTAACACTGAAACCGCTTCTAGGTATACACAGAATGCCCAAAAGATCCTGTTCAATATATGATGAGAAGTAGACGGATGAATAAACAAGGCTAACACAGCACAGGGTATCACCTGGAATCAATATTCAAGATGAGAGTACGTCAAACTAATGGGATAGCAGAATATTGTGCAAGTTACTAGTAATTAGTCACAAAGATATGAAGGAAGAGGAAGATAGATTCCATCAAAATAAAGGGCTAATACGTATGAAGCTTCTGATGTTTGGATGAGTATAAATGAGGGGCTCTTACCACATAGTATATTGCAAAGTTGTCCTTCTCCTCCATGTAACTGGACTTGAGCTTAAATCGTATCATAAAAATGACCCACAGAGTTGTCGCCAAAGTAGCTAAATCAAGTAGAGTGTGGATATCAAACTCCATGACAAAACTGCAGTAAAGCCTAACAGCCAAAAAGATAGCTGTTAATTCCTGGGATTTGAGGGACAGACCTGCACGTCATTACAAAGAATTTATGCGTTGTGATGAAAGAAAAATGAAAAAAAAAAATGTCTAGCATTCAGAAAGAAAGATGACATTATCAAGAAAATACCATGCCCAAAATATTAGCAAGACGGAAATAAGAACCCATCAGCGGAATAAGACAATAGCACATATCAGCCTCCTTTCTAATCAATAGCAATTATCGAGAAATTGAGTAAGGCACTTGACATTTATGGAATCAGTAAATTTGATTAGCCTTATAGAGCTTTAAAGGAAAAGCAAATCTTAAAGTCACAAACATCGACAAAGTAACGATCTTTACAGTATCCAAATATTTATGAAGGGCGTTGTCGACGAATTAGATTGTATCAAGAGGAACTCGGAATAAAAAATTATTGTCATTATAAAAATGAGATGAAAAACATGCTCACTGTTGTTTGAGTAAGCAAAAGAATAAGTAGCCTATAAAAAGAGATGAAATGGATAATCATTGGCCAGGCTCAAACATGTAGACAGCATTTTCAAACGTAGCCACAACAAATGAAAAGTTTAGACCGAAAACATTAATCTTTTTCCTTATCTAGACTACTTTTGAGCATCAAACTAAACATGAGGCGATTTCAAATGCCCAAAACAATTACTAATCATATGTTTACCGCAGAAAGATAGGAAGGAGGCAGCAACCAATAAGCAGGAAAACTGGGTCAACCCCATTCTCAAAACCCAGGAAGGGGGGAAAAAGAAAGGAAATTTCTTTTTAAAGCTAAACCAAATGCCGATTTATAATCAAAACCTTTCACCACGAAAATAATTGCAAACTCACAATAGTCTCAAAAATCCTAAGATTACCAAGAATCAATCAAGAAACGCAGTTATCCAGTTGAAGGGCAAAGCTGTTTACCAGCACACGTCTTCTCTTTCATAAGCTTATAGATGAGGACAGAAATTCCTAAAGAATGCACGGCCTCAGCTGCTACGAAGAGGTTGTCATGATCGTGGACAATGACTCGAAGCAACACAAGAGTCGCCATACCCGCAACCACGGCCAGAAAAGCCTTCACCTTCGGCGGTTGTCGCCTCACCCATGTTGAGACGGTGTGGATCGGGTTCCTCTGAGGCCTCATGACGACGTCCTTTTAGTACTTTCACTTGTCTTCTCCTTCTGGATTTGCCTTCAAATCTTTTACTTTATGGTGGCCACAAATCACAGCGAATCGAAGAAAATCGATTTTGCTTGATCAATGGAACCGGAGATTGGGGCGTCAGAAAAAAATCTCAGTTCAAGTCCCCAATTTTTGAAATAGGGTTGAATTGGAGCCTGTGCTATATTCGAGCGAAACTGCAGTTGGAAGGCGAGGAAGAAGGAAAAAAGAGGAGGATAGTTTCAATTCTTTTTTTTTTTTTTGAAAAAAAATTCTTTGGTAATTCATTCCTTTCAACCAACGCAAAACAAGCTCATTTATAGCATGTTTTTTTATAATATAATTTTCTCCCCATTGTGATAAATTAAATTAATTTGATCCTGTAGTTTAAATTTATAATCAAATCTTAACTGATTAGTTAAAATTGACTTGTCGATTTTTTTGGCCTTGAATTAACTTGTCGATTTAAAACCTAAAAAAAAATTAAAATGGGCTATGACTCTATGATAATTAGATTAAAAAGTAAAAACCTATAAACCAAAATATTAAATTTACTTTCAGGTTCCAGACCCAGAAACTGAAAAACCAAAAAGCGTCTTGAAATTGTTTAAGCAACTCTTCAATCAAAATGTGCAAGATCGGATAAAGATATTTTTGTGGGGGAATTTCTTTTCTTTTCTTTTAACCAGCGGTGGAATTTGGAGGTGCAACGAGAGAGGTGCGAGAGGATCTAAAATTTGGTCATCAACCTCAGTACGCAGGTCAAAGATAGAAAGAAAGTCAAAGGGGATAATGAAAAATAGAGAGGGTTAGGCAGGTGAAGTGGATTTCAAAGTTCAACTACCTATACCTGAGTTTTGGCCCAAAAAAAAAAAAACTACCTATACCTGAACTTCTTGTTGTCCTATATTTCACTTTTTTGTTTCTTTATTAAAAAGAGAATGAATCTTATGACTTTGTTGACTGACCCAAAAAAGAAAAAGGAAATCCGTGAATTTCAAAGCCGAAGCTTTGGGCCGATACATTGATGTTGGGCCTTTGGTGTGGTAAGCCCACAAGAGTCCAATGGGCTATTTTAGGTCCAAATTCTGGTATCCCCTTTGATTTTAAAATAGTTTTTTTTATTATAATTTAAAAATAAATTGGATCGATTTCAAATTTTATTTAGGATTCGATTGGTTTATTTTTCTGTTCTAAATATTTTTAGTTCAGTATTTTATGTTAATACAATGCAAGCAAATAATTTTAATAAAATGTTGGTGCGGTAAACAATGAAAATTGGGAAAACATCATAATGTGATCAGCTCAATGAATTTGGCAAGAAATCATTTTCACTGTGAAAGAAAGGACAAACGTTATTTTAGTTGAAAAATACCCATTTAAATTAAGGTATATAACGACATCTGAATAAATTCTAATAGTAATAATAATTTGCATGCTTACGCCCAAGTCATGAAAGTCACACAATTGGTCTGTGATTGGTTGAGATAATGTTAATTAGTCACGCATTTCGTATTTTAGTATGCAGAATGGAAAGCAAAGATATGGAGAATGAAAAAGAAAACGAAAACAAAGGTTAAAAATGGGAAATGGCTGAACCACGAGCAATCATAAAACCTGGCAAGTATGTCCCATATTAGCTCAATGCTTTTCTTTCTTTCTTTCTTTTCTTTCCTTATTTTAATTGACTTTATTTATATCAATCTCAATCTAAAACAGTACTAATGAGTCACATTATTATGGGGTTATGCCCTGAATTTTTCCTGATGGAAGCAATATCAGGATGAGAATTCATAGTGGTGGGGTTGCTTTGGAGCAAGACGCCGGATAAAGACGCGGTTCGGGAAGTCTTGGGCGGCAAAGCATTCGCCATCACGACAAATAAAGTTTTTAATGGATTAATCACGTCGGCAGCTGCGTGGTAACTTAGATAATGCTCAGATTTTGTATTATATACTCCTCCGGTCCTAATTATAAGACCCAATTGACTTATTTGAGGAGATTAAGGAAGTAAGTTAAGTTGGTTATTTATAATAAATAAGTGTTGTTATTTCTAAAATATCTTTGCTAATTAAGTATATTGGCTAAAACTATCATTATTAGAAGGATTATCTTGGAAAAAGATACATAAATATAAGAGAGAAAATGGATTGGGTCTTATAATTAGGACCAAATAAAAAATCAAATTGGGTCTTATAATAAGGATCGGAGGAGTATTAATGTTAACATTAAAAATTACACCTGTACTCAAAAGATTGATTTTCTATTTCGAACCACCTTATTTCCGAAAATTATATTAGACTTTAATTAATTGAGTCGAGTTGAAAAGGATTACGACAAACATTTTGTAATAAATATCTAACACAGTTGTATATCTTAAACTTAAACTCCGAATCATTTGTTAAATTTGCATAGCTTCTGGAAATAAATTAATCACAACACCTTTGAAAAACTACCACTGAACTGTGAAACACTTAGAATCATAAGTAATTTTTCACAATTCAAAATTTTTATATTCGGTAATAATTTATTTAAAAACGAAAAACAAATTTAATTTTTAAGTTTAATTATTACCTTAAAATGTATTTTTTTTAAAAAAAAAAAACAAGATGGCCCCAGGCTATCAAGTTATTTTATTGCTAAGCACTATTGACCCAGTGGAAGAAGCTAATCAATTTTTTACACCGCTGCTCATTTTGTTCCCTTTCGGACAAAGCTTTTGCTCATTCTGTGGGACAACTTAAAACGCGTCTTTTTTTGAGTGAATAAACGCGTCTTTATATCACTGCCTTGCCTCTCATTATAGGTTTCCCACTCCGATACTGATATTCAAACTTGCTTCCTCAAAATCAAACCTTTATCTTCTCCCATAGCCTGAAACTTCTTCATCAATCAATGGCCTATGGTACAAACAGAGGCTACTCTGTTTTGGATGGGTTTACTCTGAACCCTGTCCCATATCCTGTTCTGCTAATCCTTGCTGTGTTATTTGTCTTCCTCGGCATCTCATGGTACTTCTCCTACGAGGAAGTTGTCGAAAGTGCAGAAGAACAATTGGGTTGGGTTCTATTCGCTACCCCAGTTGCGATACTACTCCTAGCTCGTTGGTTGTCTTCCGTTGATACTTCTGATTGGTTCTTCTTTGGCTCTTCGCCTTGGGAAAGGCAGAGGAGGACTCATCATCTTCCATCAGAGGGAAGCTCGCCATGGGGTGTGGCTGCTCTTATTGTGGTCTTGCTCATTATGATTCAGTACCAATCTTCCTTTCTTGAAAACTGGTTCTTTTAATATGATTTGAATTCTGCTCTGTTTGTTTGTTTGTTTGTTTTTTTTTTTTTAGTGGTTTGAGTATCTAGATAAAGTTCTGGGTAGTAAATGTTTAATACGATACTTTGATTTTGTTTGTCAGAGGCTAGAAAACTTCGGATCTACCTTGTAGATCTTGTGATTATTGTAAATATATGATAGACGATGGTGTTGTATGAATCTGGTTTAAGATATGGAACCTAATTTAATAAAGAAGCTTTGATTTCTTCAGTTTTGGAGCTCAAAGAAGCAACGAGAGTTTCTTTTCCCAAAAAAAAGAAAAAAAATCTTATTTTGGTCAACGTTCCTATTGGTAGTCAAAACTCGCTTGTCCACGAAAAAGAAGGGCCAAAAAAGGGAATTGCCTAGCACAAGTTTTTTTTTTTGGTCATAAAATATTGAAATTCAGTTTCACTTATACTACTTGAGAATTGAATCATAATCAATAATCAATCAGGGCAGACAAACTTTCTGTTCACCTTTCTTACATAAGCAACTAAGCATAATTTTTCAAATGACAAATAATATAATGCCGCTGTGTGTTACAAAATATATCAAGAAGATGAGCAGAAAACACCCAAGGACAAACTTAAGAAACAAGGTTCTGAAGGTGTTACCACGATGTACTAGAATTCTATGCGTATCTTCTGTCTATGGTAATTAGTCTGACCTTCAGAAGCCAAACCACTTTGACTGAAATGAAGATTGGTACCAAAGCAAAACCAGAAGCAGAAGCACCAAGACGGCTATACTCCAAGAAAAGACAGACCCACCAGCTAGTTGGAGTGAGTCGTGCTCAGACGGAAACTAAGCCTTCTGCTTGTAGAATATGAAATAATGAGGAATATCAGTAAGATGGGCAATAGTAACAGGAATAAGTTAAAGTTAAAGGCTGCATGGTGAATCTGAGTTTTGTAATCTGTGGATTGGGAGAACCACAACAAGCTAATGACGATGCCAAATATCATAAGGAAATGGAATGAAGGAGCAGAAATGGAGGACATGGTCTGCCCTGTCCAGCCCTGTTTCCATTCTGCACCCCTCCTCTTGGGATACAACCATTCCATCTCTGATCTCTCTAGCTTATTCAGACACAGATAGAGACAAACCAAGATAGGGTCTTTGATTTATATCATGAACTTGGTTTGCTTTCTAGCTGGGTACTTGGTTGGCTTTGGCATATATTCTTTGAGTGTAACTTGTGTCCGACTAGCATGTTTTATTTTGTACAAGTCCTTGGAAGTGTCCGATGCCAAAGTAACGTCTTCTCTGACAAGAATGAGAGCATTCAATCATCGCTTCAGTAATGTCAACATAAATAGAGCCTTGCAAATCATGGAAACTTAGAATTCCTCCCACGGGAAATCTTCGGATAGAAGATGTAGAAACCTTTTATTCTCCGATTCTTTAAATTCTTCTTTATTCAATGCTCAAACGATTCTATCAATGTGGCAATAGTTAAACATACCTCCAAGATATGAAGTTAAATAAATAAATATATCGTGCATTGGCCCAAAAAAAAAAAAAAAGCTGCTGAGAGATTGCTCATGAATGATTCGTCATCGTATGGGCTGCCGAGTCACCGAACACCTCGGGATTCATGCCATTTGCCTTCTTGTTGGCCATCTTTCAACGGCTAGTTCTACAGAGCCTACCCCGCAGAACATAAAGACACCAAACATATTTTTGGCATACACCTCAATCACCATAGACCGATAAGATATTTATTACTTTAAGAATCAAACTCTATTCATGCCAGAGCATTATATGCATCCTATCTAATAACTTTGCCGGCGCGCGTGGTATCAACTTGAATGCTTGTTACTCACACAGGTTTTCAACTTTACAGCAATTCGCAGATCAATGAGTCGACAACACATGACATTCAGAATTTATGAAGCCATACCTCCTTGGCAATCAAATAACTAGATATACAGCAATTGAAACGAAATCTCAATATTGTACAATGCCCAGGAAATATTACAATTGAACCTGCCACTCTTCTGATTCGAAATTAGCTACCATTTAAAACTTGGAGACTCTACAGTTTATCTTTGAACTAAGACCCAATCACATGGTATTTAAAATGTAACATAACACTCCTAAACCTTAATTAGGTGTTGAATTCTAGATTCAAGAGTTAAAATGTCATTCCTCTTACGACTGCTTGTAAGACCTTCCCGTAGAAGGGAGCCAAGCGACCTAGTTCCCTCGGAACCTTGCAATATTTGTAAGGATGAAAAGCTTCAGACTATATTCAAAATGTACAAGCACCTTCTCTAAAGTTGAATCTCTTCTCATTCATCAGCTTTTCTGCTCCCAACTACGCTACTTGATGAGCTATCCTGTATGCTATGAGATGAAGAACACCTGCCGGATGAACTCCCTTCTGTGTAATTGTTTTCCTTCGCGGACAACTTGTTGGATTTTCTTTGCCCAGATGACAACTCCTGGAAAACCCAACATGTCGACAAATGTTGAATATAGTACTTTTCATAATTGTGCTAAAAGACTTCTTCAGAAACAAAACCTGACAAATAACTAACCTGATCTGTCGTAGATCCAGGAGTTTTCAATTCCAGGTCTGTGGTGACATCATTAGCACATCCATCATTTTCAACCTTGCTCTCCCTGGATGATTTATTTCTGGAATCCTGTGTTCCTGACGCATGGGAATGGCAACCTGGAGGAGGTGGGGGGGTTACATATTGCGTGGACTGATGTTCAAGAGTATTTGGGGCCAGATAAGGAACGAATGTTGAACACGGATTTGGGATGACCCCAGGATTTTGATTTGCAAAGAAGGGGTATGGCTGCATGGGTGGATGCATGGGAATTGGCCCAGGAGGGACTGCCAGTGGCACTGGCACTGGATATGGATATGAAGGTGGAGCCATCATAACTGAGTGATCCATTGCAGTCCAAGGGAACACAGTCCTGAGTCGTTGCTGGTATTGGTTATTCAGGCTCTCAATGTCTGATTTAAGTGAAGCCTTCTCTTCCCTAAGATCGTTTTTCTCCTGAGTCAACTGATTTAACAAGATGAAATGATTAGCTTTATTACTCAAGTCCCACAACTGAGTTACAAAATAAGTAAGACTACTATTACCTCTTGGGATTCTTCAGTCAGCGTAGTATATTCCTCTTTAAGTTTACTAACTTGTGAAGTAAGGTCCTTCAGCAATTGGATTGTATCAGCAAGAATGGTTGCTTTGTCATTTTTGGGCCTATCAGGATCTGCATTTCAAGCATATTTTTTCAGTTTTAACATTAAATGACTATCACATGTATATCATATTCTAAAGAGGCTAAACTAATAAAGTATTAAACCAGGTTGCTTCAGAAGCTAAAGTGTGGATACTATATCGAATCTCCAGTATCAAATTGCTACCTAGACTGACAACTACTCTCTAGAGCCTCATAACATGTTAAACAGATAAACAAGTATTATCTACTAGTTATGGATATCAGCCACCCGTAACTCATTTTTCAGCATACAAGATTCTGCCGTAATTTTATGACTCATCTGGAAATATTTCCATGCCAAACGCTCCGGGAGCCAAATAATAAATCAATAGAAAGTATGAAAATGCTACCTCATAAATCAAGCTCTACACCACTAGTAGCACTTTTATATTTCCCAAAAAAAAAAAAAGATTTTATTACCTAAAATGCTACCCAATTCTACAAACTGTTCATTGAGCCGGTCCCTCCTCAGTTTTTCTCTGTCAGCCTTTTGAGTTTTTCTAGCAGCTGTACCATCCATGGGCTCGACCTCTCAGCCTTGTGGCTGCAAAATCAGTTCCAAAACGATAACTAAGAAGAGTTAGGCCAATGATTTCAGCTTTGGATAAGAAAAACAAACAGCCTGCACAGGGTCACAATTCAAAATGCAGATTCAACCTGTCCGGAAGTCATGACTCATGCATTTGCTTTTGGCGGGAGAAGGGGGCTCAGACATAGTTCATTTTGGGTTCTGCTCGAATATTTTGTGGGCAAGACTCAATAGGGTCATAAGAACATATCAAAAGTCACAGCTGTTCAACGGAACGAAAAATCAAAGAAGGGAAAAAAATGATATTAAAAAGTATCTTTGTGCACATTTCAAAGTAATAAAACATATTAGAATTTGGACAGCGTCGTTACAATCTTTCATTGACAAGATGCAGTGTTTTAGTTTTCGAGCAGTATATAGATACAGCTATGAAAAAATAGAACTGCATTAGCTTTAATTCAAGAAATATTAAGAGATAAAGATGAAAATAAAAGGTGGATATCATCAGGACAAAACCCCAGGTCTATTTACCTATAAAATGATAAATTGAAAGCAAATCATGGTAATACAATCCTTCATACCCGGAATTGGGTCGCAATCGGGTAAAAGGAACGCTAGGATAGAGGTGCTGGACGAAATTTAGAGAGCGATGATAGAATAAACTGTGACGAGAAAGTTGTGTGTCCAAGCTGATTTATGGCAGCAAAAGCGCAGCAGAACGAGCGTCCATCTTCGACGACCCCCGATAAGATTTTGTCCCTTAACTTTTCTCGTTATGTGAGCCCGGCGTCCACAATGGATCGATCGTCGCGTTCTGACGAAACGAGCATACGACGTCAAAGCTGGTGTCGTTGTGTTTTTAAGAGTTGACTGTCTTTCTTCCTTTCGACATTCATCATATAATTCATAACTATTTCTATATCATTTTATTTATTTTCTTACTCAACTAAACATCTAAGGAAAAAACGATAAACAGATGGCAGATCAAGAAACTTAATAGTAAATCAGATTCACAAATTTGCTTAATTACATATAAGTTTTCCAGCACAAATGAAATTAAAATATCATCTGACCACCGTTGTGACCTAAACCGCCTCAAATTTAACTCACAAGTATCAAAGCACCGTTACTTTTCAACTACTGTAATTTACTTTAAGCTAAACTGTTTATCTCTCACGAATTACAAGACAAATCTGATCTCAAGCCATTAAACGTCGAAAATTTGTTAGATTAGGTTCATTGAGAAAACTCTGAAAACGCATAGTTGGCCAAGAGGGCAAAACGACAAAGAAAATGCATCTAGTACAGTGTTATCACAGTTTCCTTTCGTCCTTTTGCCAAAGCCCGAAAAATCAATGAAAAGGAGAAATTTTGGTTAAAATTGCTGGTGGAAAACGTTATTGTCTCAGAAAACGTTAGACTAATCTTTAATAAACAACTTATTTTCAGCTGTGCGATTTATCTTCAAATTTAGAATCCTGTAGCCAAAAAAGTTTTAAAATAAATATTTTCAATTTATTTAAAAAAATTATGGGAAAATCCTCGTTGAAATCAGTTAAAAATATCAAATTCAAATATAATTCTACAATTATTTGAAAAATTTTGATATTACTATTTTTTTATGCAATCTATGAATATTTCGCCATGATTAAATCATTGTTAACAGATTATATGAAATATAATTCTTACAATTTTAAAACCTATGCTTTCCACCTCTAAATTTTTTCCAGCTAAGAAAAAAGAACCTCCAAATTTTTGTTAATAATACTTTTTCTTACTCTTTAGTGCAATTCTAAAATAGATAGAATTTGGAGCAATTAATTCTGGTAGAATTTTTGCATCGTTAAACTGTTTTTTTTTTCCGTAAGAAATCAAATTTTAGATATAAATTCATCTTTAATCTGTGATAGAAAATATTCTTCTCTTATTAATAAGATGGAAAATATCTCATATATACTTTTCCTCCCTATTTAGTTTTGATTTCCAAATTTTCTAATCATAATCATAATGTGATGAAACTAGAGTGGGCGATTCCAATCTTTTAACAACATTTAATAAATTCTTAATTAGGACTTTTGATCTGATTAAAAATTTATTAAAAAATAAGTCTAAATCTAAATTTTGATATTTTAATCGTATTTAATTAAAATTCTCTACAAACGAAAAACAGAACATGCGCCAAAGAACGTGCCACTTCGGGTCTCCCCATAGCAGAGTACTTGGTTTTTGTGAGTCCTAAAAAATCCCCATCGATTTTATGGGCTCCCATTCCCATTTGAAGCCCGCAAGTTCTATTATTAATATTCGAGAAGTGTAAGCCGACCCTAGACCTTGGCCTTTTCCCACTCATGGCGTCCCTCGACAAAGTCTGGATTTTTTGTCTCGCTTTCTTCCTTCTTGCATCCCCTCTTGTCCAGGGTATGTTACTCGGATTCTAGATCTAGATGCGATTTTTCATTGGTGTACTTTTATGATTGGTCGGTCAGCTTGCCCGTACGTGCACTCTGTACATTCATTCCGATTTCCCATATTGTGATTTTGCTTCTCATGTGTAGTCTAATTAATATAAGAACGATGCTTGCATGCGTATTAGGATATCGATGTTTTGGATTGAGGAAAGTATACCTCTTTAATTATCCAGTGTCGTTATCAGTCTAATTTCGTACCCAATTCACTTGGAGCAGGATTTTGATTTTTGATCTGAATTTTTCCTCTTAAATTTAATATTTCTGGGGTCTTGACCTCCGTTGGACCATAAGATTTTCTTGGCTTCCATGGCTTATTTTCCGCTGAACTGATGGACATCCGTCTCTAGTATCACTTATGTAGAAGTTATAGATAGGAGTTTTCTTTGTTAATATTGGCCATCGTACTGGCAAGCACTTGCTTTAGAACTTTGTCTTTGACAGTTAACTGCTGATGCCTATAATGGGAACCGATAATTTAAACTTCGAAGCATTCAATTGCATTTCATTAGATTCAATTTAGGTGTATTTTTATTACAAAATAAAATTCAATTTGAATTCTTGGTTCTGAATCAGAACCACTTAAAATTAAAAGGGTGATCGACTGTAGGCAACTGGATGTTATTTGTATTTGGGTTGGTTCGTCTCATTTTAAATTTGATGTTAAAAATGCATCTATTCTAAGGTGGCATCTTTTTAAGCTGGGAACTGAGTGCAGCTTACATTTTTTCCTCTTTGGGACCCTAGTTCTCATTCCCTGAAATATCTCGCCAAACTTTCTGTGACTAATATTAAGTTCTGTGCACGGTCATCATAAATGCACTTTGTACATCATGATAGTAAAATGTAGTTCTTCTACTTCCTAGTTGTTAGGTGCCAGTCGGACGCAAGTGATGCCGCCGAGACAACTGAAGAAGTGAGTGATCTTGGCATTGTCGGTGACGATGTCCAAGATTTTGGTGATGGGAGCTTTCCCTCTGCTCCTGGAATTGATACAATTTGTCTGTTCCCAAAAAATAGCGCAAAATGTAAGAATCTTCTTGTGTGGCTCAGAGCAGTATGGTTGCCTGTTTATATTTATGATGTGTTATTTCTTCTAAGAAAATTGTGGCGGTTACTTTTCCTTGCTCATTTGATGCAGTGGCAACAGCTGGAGAAGAGACTGAACTACTTGTTGGTGTTAAAAATGATGGTAATTGAATCTATTTTGACGCTCTTTATAAATTTTGTTATTCAGCTTCATGCTCTGTTCTTATCTTATTTGCCTGTAGCTGTTATTCAGCCTTTGTGTCTTTGTTTTGTGTGTATCACTCTTTCTGAAAGTAACATCTCCTTATGAGATTGTTTTGCGTTGTTTTTTTTTCCAGTTCGATGGTTCCCCTACGTTTGTAGCCATTGGGGGGTTGATAAAGGAAAGAAAAAAAAAAAAGAAAATATAAGTTTCGCAAATCAGTTTATTCACTTTATTGTTTGAACTATAAACAGGTGAGTCAAGCTTAAACGTGATTGCAATTAAGGCCAGTGTTCACATTCCATATAACCATCGTCTTCTTGTCCAAAACCTTACTGCTCAGGTAATGCTTTTTTACGAAATTTCCTATGTATTATGCAAAGGAGTTGTGATGTTCATATTTTATCCTAGTTCAGCAAATTGTGTTATTTAAATGGCAGCTTCTGCTTTGACTGCAGGTTTTTAACAATGGTTCGGTGCCAGCCTCATCACAGGCTACTTTCCCTTACATATTTACTCTCAGCAAATTATTCCAAGTAACTTTTTTAGTTTGGAAGCATAACCCAGTTTCTCTCTAAGTAAAGTCAGAAAGTGATTCACTATTCAACATACCTAACCTCTTCATTCTACTGTGCAGCCTGGAAACTTTGATCTCGTGGGTACCATTATATATGAGATTGACACACATCCATACCAGAGCACTTTCTATAATGGAACTATAGAAGTTGTTGAACCTAGTGGCTTTCTTAGTATGGAATCTGTTTTCCTTGTTACCCTTGGAGCTGCGCTTCTTGTCCTCTTTGGGCTATGGGTTCATGGTCGTATACAGAGCCTATCTAAGGTAACGCAGTTCTTATTCTTCTAGTTATCGTTTTCCATGTGGCCGTGTTTTGCAGACTTATTATCTAGTCTTATGCATATTAATGTGATGAAATGAAGCTGATTTTGGAATACTTTTGTTAAAATATCTCATGGTTCCCCCCCCCCCTTCTCACGAACCCATTTGTATCATATATTCTTGCTCATTTGGTGATTCTCGTGTGTCATGTATGGATTTTGATATTTGCTTAGAAAAAGAGGGCTCCAACTGTTGAAGTGGGGACAAAGACTACAGATGCTTCGATGGATGAATGGCTTGAGGTGAGTATATGGACTTAATCATAACAATTCTTTCTATTTGATGTCATGGTGATCTCTAGTCTTCTGTTTTTCAAGGTAGTGTTAGGGGAACGAAAAGGAAAAAAGAGGCTTTTTTAATGCCATTTCTTTCTACAAGAAACAATTATATCCTTTTTCTGGTGTAACCTTTGATGTCTCTAGGCTTCTGATGTCTCTCTCTTCCTCCTGCCTTTTGACATACAGGGAACTGCATACGCTCAGTCACTGTCAAGCAAATCAAAGAAGAAGAAGTAGATAAATAATTCTCGTCAGAATTCAGCCGTACAAGACTCTGCTTTGAGGTGCAGAATCTTGTAACAGAGTAGGTTGGAGAGTTAAATAGAGCGCGAGGATGTAGGTCTAAATTTTAGGCTGGAGAAATGTGCCTTTCTGTTGTAGCCTATGACAGAATTTTTGCATTTTCTTTCCACTTGGGTGAAGTGAACTAGTGGAACCTTTTTATTTATAAAGACAAGGAAAAAAAAAAAAAAACTAACGAGGATGAGTTAGCACGGGAACAAACTTTTTTGGGACCAACAAGATTTCAGTTATATATGCTTATTCCATCTAAATTATGTTCTGCTCCTTGGTGAATTTGGTATCTTAGCTTCTAATTAATGTTTTGAACTTGGGTTATTTGGAGAATGGGACAGTCGACCTGATTGTTTGGCTCATTCATTTGCGTCTCTGAAACCAAGAGCATTGGATATGAATTGGATGATGTGGCTTGAAATGGAATCAAGAGAAGAACATCAGAACATCATAAGGAAGGTTTTAGCTGCCTGTTGAACTGCGGATTCTGGCTGGAGAAATTGTCTTCGTACACCCCCCCCCAAAAAAAAAAACCAAAGAAAGAAAGAAAGAAAGAAATAATTTTTAGAATAGTTTTTGGTGTTTTTGAAACTTCATCAGTGCCCTAGCCCATTTCTAAAGATAATCCTCAAGGATATGAAATCTCTGCAATAACCTATTAGGCAGTGATCAACGAGGATTGAGTCTAATGGAATGGGTTAGCCTCTCATAATATGATAGATCAAGTTTGAATCCCTACTAAGAGAGATGTTGACATTTAGTACTTGACAGTGTATCGAATAAGAAGATATTTATTTTAGCAAAAAAAAAATTAGGAACTAGGTCCCATGCCATTTTCTCCATTTGCTGCTGCCCCCCTCTCTCATAAGTTTATGTATTATCTCTAGTCTTAAATATAAAAAGTAGTTTGTAGTGTAATTTATATTATAAATTATATTTTATACTTAGAATCAAAGATAGTATAAAAAAAATTAAGAGTGTGGAGGAAAAAGTGAGGGCATGGTGGCAAATAGAATGAAATCTTTTATCACCTAATGTGAAGCTGGGGACACTGGTCATCTACTTTTATGCAGTGATATGCCTATTCTTGTGTCCACTCCTTTCCGTGATTCTGCAATGTTTTCATCAGAATCTTTGTAAATGAAAGCAAAAGATGTGACCAGCTGTGAGGTGGGGGCGGTAATGAATGGGCAGTGCGTTGCATGATTGTCAGTGTCACATACTTACGGTTGGAAATCAACGGAATTCCTTGAGAGATATGGCCCTGCTCCTTGGCTAAGCATCTAGTGCTTGTGCTCGCTTTTTCTTTTTAGTCAAGCGGTATCCAATTATATATGCGTAACAACGCCCTCCTTCAATACACTTCTGATTCTGACGCACTTGGTTATGTAAAGCACTAAAACTTTATTATAAAAAATTAACTGCGGTCTCACGGCGATGGGAGTTTTCATGTTAAATTTTGCATCAATTATAATAGAAAAATTAATATTGATCCTATATATAAGGCATATTTCACATCTTTATTAATTTTTTTTCAAACTAACTATATTAATATTGTAACACCTCATGTAACTATATCTACATATGTGATAAAATATTTCATTTAAAAGTCTATACGTATTTTTAGCATTCAATATAGGTCATAATTTCAAAATATTTTTCTGACATAATTTAACAAAATAAACTATTAAAGTCTTATATTCATAGTAAATAAAAATAGGAAAAACTATATTGAAGGTACCTATACTTTCTCTCAATTTTTAATTTGGTACCTATGTGTTTTTTTCTCTTTAATTAAACATTTAATTTTATCTTTTTAGCAACATTAGCTCTTATAACTTTGTTCTATTGATATTTTTAGTCTCTACATAAGGATTAATGATGTTAATAGAGGAAAAATAAAGATTTAGTGAAGAACAAAAAACACATAGGTACCAAATTGAAAATTGAAAAAAAGTATAGGTACCTCCAATATGGTTTTCCCATAAAAATATAACATAGAATGTGCTGGAGAAGCACAGAAGCCTTCACGGCTTACTCCATCAGTACCTTTCCTTGTTTTCTACTGGACCCTTCACCTGAAAATGTTAATATAAGAAATGAGATCTAACGTCTCAATAACTACTGAATTTTATTATTATTAAAATTTGAAAAAAAAAAGAAGGAAAGACAGCTTTTCCACCGAATTCGGTGGAAAGCTAAGGCATTGAATTAGGCAGAAGGAATTTTGGGAGGAGGAGTAAATGAACAGTGAAGAAAATGAGAAATGGGTAGTTAGAGGCTGGAAGGAGGAAAAAATAAGAGAGGGAGAGAGAGCACAAGAGAAAGGGATAGCGGGAAACAAAAGGAGAGAGCGAGAAGTTGAGATGCAATACGTGAGCTGAAGATTAAGACAAGTTTTAGAGATCATTAAGGTACACAAAAATATTTCTTTTTATCATATTTTTTTAATGAATATTTCCTATATATTCAGAGCGTTATATTATTAGTGTTATATATGGTTTTCTTGTATAGATTAGAATTTCAATAGTTATTGAGACGTCAGATTCCATTCCTTATATTAATATTTTCAGGCAAAGAATCTAGTAAGAAACAAAGAAAAGCACTGATGGGGTGAGTTATAAAGGCTTTGGTGTTCTTCAAACACATACTATATTGTATTGTTATTTGCCGTGACTATACAATGGTTTATTTTGTTATGTCAGAAAAATGTTTTGAAATTATGACATGCTTGGAATGCTATAAATATATATATACTTTTAAATGAAGTATTTTTCTCGCATATATGAATATAATTATGTGAGGTGTTACAAATATTCCCTCTAATAATAACCAAGTAATAAAAGAAGGAAGGGAATTAAGAATATGCTTAAGTTATTTTAGAAAAAAACATATTATATTAACCAGTTTAACTAATATTTTTAATTTAGTCAAATTAATTAATTATATCTTACGGACAGGAGGAGCATATAACAGTACATTTGAATTTTAAAAATAAATAAAAATAATTGAATGATAACAGAAATGTATGCCATCTCCTTTTGGTTTTTGGTCACTCAAATCTGTATTTCCCCGTTCCTAAATATTCATTGGACTTGAATTTTTATTTGGTCTCTGTTTCAGTTTCAAATTTTAAGATATAATTATCACTTATTTCTAATAATAACTTTGTGAGATTGAAAGCATTAAATAGGAATAGTTAAAATTTAAAATAATATTAAAGATATTAAACAGAGGGCACAATAGACGGAAAATTTATTGTTATATGATAGAGTGCATAAATTTTTTCCCTTGATTATGTGTTCGGGGGAAGCAGGATATTGGATGAATCCCCACACCACTTGGTTTTTTCTCCCTTGTCCAAAGATCAGATCCCCCAACCTCTTAAGAGACCTGACAAAAGTTACCGTTTGCGATAAATCTACACCGTACGTCCACTCTTATCTAGACGGTTCTGTGCATTATTAAAATCACCACCCGCATTCGATCAAGGGTCGGGGAGCATTTATCACATTTTGCACGACACACGCGCGCGAGTAAATATCTGTTATTTCTTTTGCGCCCCAAAAGGGGAAAATTATCTTATTTATTTCAAAAATACCCCACGAGAACTAAACTGAATAAGCTTCGGTGAGCATAATCAAATTTCAATGAGATTTAATTATTTTTTTATTTTTGTTTTTTAAAAAATACTCTTCTTTAAAAAAGTAGATAATCCAAAATAAATATAATCTTTTAAACTGTGAGTTTTTTAAAAAAATAATTTTTTATGTAAAAATTATTAGTTGAGAATTTTAAGTTCAGGCCACTAAAATTGTATCCAAATGATATGAATTTCATCGTGAGTATGAATATCAGGATACTTATCAACTGAAAAGGAGAGTCGTTTTTATTTTAAATTAGAGAAACAAAGACGAGACCATGGAATTGAACTCGACAGTAAAGCGGCCTTCTATTTTCATATCAGTGGGGACTGGGATAAGGGCCATTAGTCCCCCACCCATGCACCACCATTCGATCGATGTGCAGACATTTTTGTCTATGTTACGGATTTGTTGTGGTTGTTTCTCGCAAGCTAAGGTTTGAGATGGAGAGTTAAACAAATCCTAGTTCGCAGATAAATTGTTTGCCGTCTAAGAACATTCCCCAAGTATCCATTAATAGTTAGGCACGGTTGGTACCATCTCCATCACCGTCTCCGTCGAACCATGACGACCCTTACCAACTAAATAGTCCCCATATCTCCCTCCTAGTGTGTCGTAGTTGTTTCTTGTTTCTTTTGGTTGTGATGGGGAAAAAAGGGCCATTGGTGCAGCGTCGTCCGTTCTGCTTCGTCAAAGTCCGCATCTTGAGAGAAGGGGCAAGAGCATATCCTTCCGCTTGGATGCCCCTACTAACCCTGGTCAATTCCGAACTTCACTAGGGTCACTACATATCGGTTATAATTCTGCCACGTGTTCCATCCAACGGTCAGTTCCCTAGACATCACCCGCAGAGAGTCCTATATATACTCGTTCTCGCTGCTGTTTTTATGCAGTCTTTTTTGGAGTGAAAACCCTTTGAAATTAGTTCCCAGCAAGAGAAAATGGCAAACCCTAAGGTCTTCTTCGACATAACCATCGGTGATCAGCCCGCCGGTCGCGTAGTCATGGAGCTCTTCGCGGATACCACCCCAAAGACGGCCGAGAACTTCCGTGCCCTCTGCACCGGCGAGAAGGGTGTGGGCCGCAGCGGCAAGCCCCTTCACTACAAGGGCTCCGTCTTGCACCGTGTGATCCCGGACTTCATGTGCCAGGGCGGCGACTTCACGGCCGGGAACGGCACCGGCGGCGAGTCGATTTACGGCGCCAAGTTCGAGGACGAGAACTTCGTGAAGAAGCACACGGGCCCCGGAGTCCTGTCCATGGCCAATGCCGGACCCGGAACCAACGGGTCGCAGTTCTTCATCTGCACGGCCCAAACGTCGTGGCTGGACGGCAAGCACGTGGTGTTCGGTCAGGTGGTGGAAGGCATGGACGTGGTGAGGGAGATCGAGAAGGTGGGGTCAAGGTCTGGGAAGACCTCAAAGCCAGTGGTGATTGCCGAGTGCGGTCAACTCTCTTAGAGAAGCGTGCGACTGACGATCGTGTGTTCTTCTATGCGGCGTCGTTTTTCCGCTTTTTAAAACTCCGGGTTTTAGTTGTTGTTTAAGCCATGGTTCTCTCACCGCTGATAATATGTAATTTTCTTCTAAAATCTCCATATCAGTACGTGGTACACTGAGTGGAGTCTTGTGATGATAATACTGAGCCACCACGAATAAAGTTGGAATATTGCCAAAAAAATTATGTGTTTGATCTCCAATTTAATTGTACTGTTTCGAAATAAAATGACAGTGAGCGAAATGGTGGGTGGGATATATTCTAAGAGGAGGATGGTAAGTATGAATTTTTGTGGTAGTGGGTTTGGGAATAAAGGTGGATTTTCGTATTGGCAGGAAACGGAAGGAAGGTTGGGGAAAAAAAAGGAAGCGGAAGGAAGGTTGGGTAGTAAAATACTGTGTTGGAAGTATGTTGACGTTTATGGGTGCAAGAGGCATGTGAGATGGGGGTAATAAAATATTTATAGGGTCCATACTCCATATGATAAGGGAGAATAACGATGAGTGGAGGGAAAAGTGAACATGTTTTTGGTCTCGAAAAAAGAGGGTGCTGCTGATGATGCTGTTGCTGAGAGGCCCCTAGCTGGACCCCTTGTCCTATTTTAAACTTTTGAATAAGGGTTGTTCGAGATATCGTTTCGTCCCGCTCAAACGACCAATCATGTTCATAAGCCCACTGCTGGTTGATAATTTTTTTTTTATATATAAAAAAGTTTTATTTTTAAAATTTTTTTTGAGAGTGCCCCTTAACCTTAATAACCTGCGGTTGGCTTTTTTTTTTTTTGCCTAAAGTATCTTCCTACTCAAGCAGTAAGAAACTAATTTCTCATGATACTGTCAGACGTTGTAACAGGAACCTTTCCTAACAGTGTTTTTTTTTTCATACACACCACTCTAAAAATCAAACTTATGACATAATGTTTAAGGTGCTTAAGTCTCTTCTATTTGAATCAACACTTATTAGTTGCGGTTGGCTTTTTCTGTTGCTGTTGCTGGTACTTCAAAAGCATTGTGTGAGACCCTTCGCCTGATTTCTCTGTGGGCTTACTCTTTCTGTCTGACGTTTCTTAATCCAAAATGCAAATAATTAAACCAAAGCTTGAATTCTCCTTGGAGAGATGTCATAGATAGTGTTTTGAATATAATTGCTTCTAACAAGAACATATCTGTACTTAATAAAAAAAAACAGAAATCAAGTTTAATGGAGGGATCAAGTTTCTCATATAACGTGACAAATTGATGTTCAAATATCTATTAAGATAAATAACCTAATACTGTTTCAGGAAATCGTATTATTCTTTCTGGTTCTATTTATGAGATTCTCAAATTTGAATTGATCTGGTCCTTTTTATAAGATCCTACCAAGTATTATTTGAACAATAAATACATTTTTACTAATTTTGTGCCTAATTAATTCTCATTCTTTGTTGTCATTTTTCTCATTACTGCTATTTCTCTCTCTTATTTTTTTTCTTTCATTAAATATGAACATACTTAAAAACAGAGATTTCTTTTTTTTACATATTTATTACTTTTAATTAATTTTAACTATTTTTTTAAATCACGTAATTTAGTTAATAAGATGTTATGAAAAAACGGATGGGGTATTTGTTTATGAATTGTTATCTATAAAAATTATTTATTTATAAATTATAAATATAACAAATATTGGATTCATTCGCATGATTTAGATCCATTCTAATTGAGAGAGGAGACGGCGTAGGGAAGCTTACTTCGATTGTTATATTTATCCGGGGAAATCAATTTACGGTTGGAATGCATACCTTTTAACAGGGAATGTTTATTTTTTCCCAAAAAATTTATTATAGAAAATCAAATACTTATGTGAATTAAAATTAATCTTTAAAAGTTGAGTGATTGTTACAAAATCTTCAAATAAGGAAACTATATTCGAAGATAATAAAGAAAAATATGTTTATCCATGCCATCATCAATAATCAGACGATGAAATCTATGCTTATCAGATAATTTATGTTTTATCCATGCAATCCACGTATAAATAATACTCTCCGATTAAGGATCAATTCTTGAGTTGGTTTTGGTCCTAAATATAAAACCCATTTATCATATTTTTTAATTTTCTCTAAATTACCCCTATGGATACTCCTCCAACCATAATCAAGTAGAAGAGGGGGAGGGGGTATTAAGAAAGATGATTATGGTGTTTTAGGAAAAATGTGTCACTTTTCTTATAATTAACTAATTTACCTAATTTTCTTAATTTAATCAAATTAGTTAAATGAGTTTTATATTAAGGACCGGAGGAGTATATGCTAATAATTTTTTTTGGCCAACATATGCTAATAAAGTTATTCATTATTACAATATATTTGGGCAAATACATTTAACGGGTTGCTACTTCATTAGAATAAGCGTTTTTCTTAAATGCAGATTTTTTTGGGCCAAATTTTACATGCAGAATTGAGTGTTCTTGAATTTAAATACCTTGCGAGGAGATTGTTTTTGTTTTTTGAGTAGCTTGTCAAGACCTAATAGTGCAAGTAATAACCGTAATTAGTAATTCAAGGGGTATTTGCGTCATTGGAGATCACGCCGCCACGGCAAAGATTTGATGAATTCCAGGCTGGCCAGGAGGAACGTGCCACGGTTCAATTTCAATACGAATAGTGTTTGTGTATGGGAGTATTGATCAGGACGGGAGTGGAGCTAAGCTGGACGTATTGCGAAGCGGAGGATTACTGCCGCGATTAACAGGAAACTTCCGACTAGACGACGACGACGGCTTAAAAATCAGAGATACGTCTCAAGGGGTTTAAATTTACGAGCACGTCTATCTGCTGCTTAATAATCTCTATATCACCAGCAGTCAACTGCGGTCCAGTTCCCGTGACTCGAGGGCTTCCACACAGGACACCTGGACGATCCTCTTTGTTCTTTGATTTAATTTCCCTGGAGGGAAGTCGATCGATCCCTTCTTGGCGGGAAAACTGAGCACGACGACGTCCTTGTCGTCGTCTTCCACAATTCAATTGAAGTTGACATTGACCGTGAGATAGAGATGGGAGTTTCCCAAAATTCGAAGGGTTTGATACTGGCTGTTGCATCTAGTGTATTCATAGGGGCAAGCTTTATCTTGAAGAAGAAGGGTCTTAAGCGTGCCGGTGTCCACGGTACTCGCGCAGGTCAGCCTCATGGAATTTCTTGTTTATTTACCTATTTTTGATATCTTCCAAATAATCAGAGGCATCATGGTATTGGTTATTTGCTGTTTCTTGATCATTGCTCGGTGAATCATGAAGTTACCTGCTAAGCAATCTCGTGTTTGAATAAATTGCCTGGTGATAGGAGAACTTATGTTTTTATGTTGTAAATTTTCATTTCAGTGAGAATGAGCTCCTCTTCTTCCCTCCTGCTATTCTAGAAGCTCTTCATTGTCAAACCAGGGTTATTTTGGATCTATGGGAACATTGGCGTTTGGTATAATTGGGCTTGAGGAGCTGCCTTCATACCTGGTTTTTTTTTTTTTCAGTCCCATCAACTCTGCAGTTTAAACCTCTGGTTGCGACACTCATCAATCTAAATTTGATGTTTTTGAATTTTGAGGAACCGAAATAAGAGTGAAAAATTGCATACCCTTGTTGGCTGAAATCTTGAGTGGTAAAGTAGGGTTTGATGCAGAATTCCCCTAGAATCTGTTTGGCCAGAATATATTCCTGGATCTTGTTCTAAATGAATGATGAATTATTGCCGGTTTTGTATTTAATAACAGATTCTAACCTGTTTAACAGGCTGGTCAGGTTGTCATGCAATAATGCTTTTAACATGAAAACAGCAGTGTCAATAAATCTGTTAGTATTTTGTGTTGGTGATATACAACTTTTTTCAACTTCATTGATCCCTTATGTTTCATGCTTTGCTGCTATTACTTGTGGCTATTAGAGCTTGTCATTAAATTTTGTTTTGAAATTTGCAGGAGGTGGTGGCTATACTTACTTACTAGAGCCACTATGGTGGGCTGGCATGGTGACAAGTAAGTTTAGGGTGTTGATCCCCTCTTTGCTTTTAGTATGCTTGAATGATGTAACAAATGCAAATGAATCTTGAAAATACTTGGTTTACAGTGATTATTGGGGAGGTTGCGAATTTTGTGGCTTATATCTATGCTCCAGCAGTTCTGGTTACCCCCCTCGGAGCTCTGAGCATCATTGTCAGGTAAATATTCTAGTGCTTAGTCTATTGAATACTCCACGGCTATGATTTTGTATTGGAACTAACGTTCAGTATATATTGCAAGTGCTGTTTTGGCTCACTTCTTATTAAAGGAAAAGCTTCAGAAGATGGGGATATTGGGATGTATATCCTGTATTGTAGGATCAGTGGTTATTGTTATTCATGCACCTCAAGAACAAACTCCAAATTCAGTGCAAGAAATATGGGATCTGGCCACTCAACCAGGTCTAGTTTGATCATTTTTCTTCCTGGCACAAATGAGTTTTCCTATCTGCTAACTGACGCTCTTTTTTCTTTGGACAGCATTTCTAGTTTATGTTGTGGCAACAATTTCAGTAGTTTTAGCTTTGATTTTGCACTTCGAACCTCATTATGGACAGACTAATATGCTGGTTTACTTGGGAATTTGTTCTCTGATGGGCTCACTTACGGTCAGTAATTATGTTCTTGCCAAGCATCTGGATGGAACTTTAGTATTAATGTCGCCATGCATGATCTAACTACCTATATTTTGGCTCAATGTTAAATTCGTGTAATTATTCAGGTTGTGAGCATAAAGGCCATTGGAATTGCAATAAAGCTTACGCTTGAGGGAGTTAATCAAATAACTTTTCCGCAGACTTGGTTTTTTCTCACTGTGGCAACAATATGTGTCATTACCCAGTTGAATTACCTGAACAAGGTGTGTGCAAAGATATGAAAGCCTGATGTAATTTATAACCAGAATTGTAAATGATCAATATTTTGATGGTAACTTTTATGAACTAGGCCCTGTAAGGCATGATTGCTTTATGGTCACGTATCTCCTCATATTGTAGGACCGAACTGCTACAAAGACCTTGCCAAAAACCCACAAGTCCAAAAGCAAGTTAACTGAACAGACACAGAAGTGCATTAAAATTAAACAAAATAGTCATGCTCATTTACTGGGAATATGCAAAGCTTGCCCTGTAGCAATGTAAACACTGATAGTACTTTATGCTGTTTTCGTATGTTTAGTGTTGGGAACTTTGCTAGAGGAATTACCTGTTTAGTCTTGGTATCTTTTTCTTACCTATTATTGTTCCGTCATTTGCTGGCTTGTGAACTGATGAGCACAACTAAGTAGTGTTCTCTGTGATGAACTGCATGTTGGAATTCTCACTATTATGACTTTAACCGTCAGCCATCAATGGCCTATCTATAACTCTCTAGAACTTCATAACTGGCACCATTCAATGATGTTTTAGGCGCTAGATACATTCAACGCGGCAGTTGTTTCTCCTGTATATTATGTCATGTTCACAACTCTGACTATTATTGCTAGTGCAATAATGTTTAAGGTACAATCTCAGATTCATATTCTTGGATCCAGTTAGTTATATGCTAAAGTTTTCCTTTTGGCAAATTATGTTGACTTTATGCTTTCTTCTACTTTTGTTGTAGGATTGGTCAGGTCAGAATGCCAACAGCGTAGCATCTGAGGTATGTGGTTTCATCACCGTTCTTTCGGGAACAATAATTTTGCATGCGACAAGAGATCAGGAGCAATCTAACATGCAAGGTATAGTTTTAACAGCACCTTAGGAACAGACTGATTTCCGTTATCCATTCATTTGCTGATATACATTATACAGCCTTGAATTTTTTCACCATAGTTTCTAAACCTGATCCTGCAATAAAATCTTCCTTTTATAATGCAGGGACCTTGACGTGGTACATTGGTGAGGATTCGATGAAGGGCCTGGAGGATGAACACCTGATCCTTATACATGGTTCAGAATATGTTGAACATTGATTTGTCCTGAGGGTGGTGATGTTTTGGCAGCAATCATGCAACAGCTTGATGCCAACCAATTTTGCTGTTTGGAGTGCTTGGCTTGTCACCGATTGTGGGATGTAGATCTGTGCATTTTGGAATCCTGTAGTTTTCTGGCCGTTTCTCAGCTTGCTGCTGCACAGGCATGCAGGTTATGCAAGGGAACCCCTCCTGGGATGGGTGATGAACCACCCTAGATTCAAGCGCAGGATCCAATTGAAACTGCAACGGTGATCATTATCACATTGCGACACTTTCAGATGTTAGGGGGTGATTTCACTGTGTTAAAATCCTTGTGACTTGCTTACCCATCGGCTAGTAACACTAGGCATTGTTTTATGTACAAAATTTACATTTGTCATTCAACTATCAGATTCTATTGATTCTTCTTCAGTTATGAGAAGCATTTATTTTTGTTTGTTTAAAAATTTTGAAACATATACTAGACTCTCTGGAAAATCTTTAGTGTTTTTCAGATGAAATTACTGTGTTGGGAAACAGGCACAGATGAAGATTAGTAATTGGAAATGATGACGCCAGTTGATACAACTGTTAGCACCAACTACTTAAGTAATGACGGTTTTAGCTTAGTTTCGCATGTCACTTTATCTTTAAACATGGCTGGTTCTTAGATTCATTAGTTTTTTTTTTTTTTTGGTTTTGCCGGCCATCTCTGAGATTTACTAGCTGTGCCTGGTAACTCTTTAAGTTTCTGCTTTTAAGCAAGGTCACTTTGTTGCTGAGTTTGATGTGTATTCTTGTGAGCATTTTTACCATGCCATGAATCCAAAGCAAACAATTACGAATTTTTCAGAATATTATACTACTTCCGATCCTTAATATAAGACCTAATTGACTAATTTGAGTAGATTTAAAAACTAGTTAAGTTAGTTATTTATAATAAATATGTGTTGTATTTTCTAAATTATTCTTATTAATTAAGTATATTAGTTAGAACTATAATTATTACAAGGATTACATTGAAAAAAATGGATAAAAATGAGACAAAATAGATTGGGTTTTATATTTAGGATCAAAATAAAAATCAAATTAGCTTTTATATTAAGGACCGGAGGTAGTATTAAGCAAGTGGGAATACGGTGCTGCTCAGCAGGCGGTAATATTATTCTCTTTCGTTATATATAGCTTCCTCAATAAAATATTTAAATCTAGGCGGAATCGAACTATAAATGAATGTATTTAGTTAAAAAAAAAAAAACAATGCTATAGATGAATGTACCGTATTGTTGGCCAGAAAGAAATTTAAATGTATCGTATCAACAGTTTTTAGATAAAATCTACACTTTCCTCATGTTAGCCTTATTCCATGAACTAATATTGATATAATTCTATAGACAATAGATCCCATACTGATGGTGATATGGTCTGAGCCAAATTAAATGTAGCATAAAATGTTAAACAACCAGTTTTTTCAATAATAATAATTGTATAATTTGTATCATAAATTCATGCTTTACAGTTTACACAACTTAATATCAAATTATCAAAGTCAAAGCAATGCTATTTTCCTTATAAAATTGATGGAGAGAAATATATTTTAGTTTTTATAAGATGTATGAGATTTTTAACATCAACTGAAATTAAAAAAATATCGATATATAACAAAAATATATAAATATGCGTCTTTTTAAATTAAGTAGTTTACTTTACCCGCAGGAAAATAATAAAAGTTGAAGTGCCCATGGCCGCAGGAAATTTAACCCGAGAGATTTACATGGCTGTTGCAAATCAGGCATCATTTATTTTTTTATTTTTCAAAAGAAGAAAGAAAACGAAATCATAACCGTTGAAAGAGATCGGTCAGGCAGAATCGAGCGATAAGACCTTCGACCGTCCGACCCGAAGGCATAACCCACAGATATATTTATTCATCGCGCGCGCCTGTTTTCGCTGCCAACAAACGCAACCTCGACTGAGAAAAAGAGAACGAAGGATTCACGGAGAGAGAGAACCAAAGCATAGCAATGGCGGCTTCTGTATCTGCCTGGGCTAAACCGGGAGCATGGGCGCTTGATTCTGAAGAGCAAGAAGCCGAGCTCCTTCAAAAGAAAGACAAGGATGACACTTCCCAATTTCCTTCTCTTGCTGTCGCCGCTGCCACCAAGCCAAAGAAGAAGAAGGCCCAGGCGATCCCCTTGGCCGATTTCACTACTTACGGGGGCCCTAAACCCTCCCATTCTGATTCCTTGACGCATGAAGATCTCATGATGCTGCCAACCGGTCCTCGCCAGCGAACTGCCGAGGAACTTGAGCGTGACCGGGGTCGACTTGGTGGTGGTTTTAGGTCTTATGGTTCCTATGACCGCCCCAATAGGAATTCTGGCGGGGACGAGTCTTCCAATTCTCGATGGGGTTCATCTAGGGTTTCTGATGAGCCCAGGAGGAATGGTTCCTTCGGCCGGGATTCAAATCGTGAAATGACGCCTTCGCGAGCTGACGAAATAGATAATTGGGCTGCTGCGAAGAAATCGACCGTTGGGAATGGTTTTGAGAGGAGGGACAGGGATAGAGGAGGCTTTTCTGATTCACAATCGAGAGCTGATGAATCGGACAGTTGGGTATCTAATAAGAATTACGTGCCATCGGAGGGGCGTAGATTTGGTTCGAATGGTGGTGGGTTTGAGAGAGAGAGGAAGGTTGGATTCGGTTCGAATGGTGGTGGGTTTGAGAGAGAGAGGAAGGTTGGATTTGGTTCGAGCGGTGGTGCAGATTCGGATAATTGGAACAGGAAGAAAGGGGAATTTAACGTTGGAGGTGGCATTGACAGAATTGAGACACCGAGTGGAAGACCGAGACTTAATCTACAGCCTCGATCACTGCCTCTGAGTAGTGAAAGCCAAGAAGGTTCTGGGAATGTAGCAAAGCCCAAGGGTCCAAACCCATTCGGAGACGCAAGGCCAAGGGAGGAGGTTTTGGCCGAGAAAGGGCAGGATTGGAAGAAGATCGACGAGCAGCTGGACGCAATGAAGATTAAGGAGACGGTCGATAAGAAGGAAGGACTTGGTAGGAGGGGCTTTGGGTCTGGCAATGCACATGCCAATTTGCCAGAAGAAAGAGCTGAAAGGAGTTGGAGGAAGGCAGTATCTGATGACAGTCGTCCCACAAGGTTTGTCAGTAAAGATAATCGAAAATAAACTTGGTAGTTTCTTGTGTTATTTGTTCTTGATTGGCCTTATTAGTTGGTTCAGACATGCATTTTTTTTTTCTTCTTTTAAAAACTTTTTTCATTAATTAGAAGTTGAGATGATTTCAGGTAGAATTATATTCTGTAGACTTCTTTTGATGTTGAGAGGAGTCCCTTTGTTGGTAGCATTTTTTTTTAAACGAAAAAAAAAATAAAAGAAGAAAAGAGAGTTAAAACTTAAAAGTCAAGGACTTCTAATTGGGTGCCTGTCCTGTGCTGTGCAATGTTGCTTTTGCTCGTTCTAATTTGCTGCAGTTTTAGCCTTCTGCTAGATCCTTCTGTCCGAAGTTTTATGCGCTCTATATGTAAATTGGACATACTGCCAGCCGGTACCCTACATTAAGGGGTACTAGAAATTTTATGTGAAGTCATCATTGGCATTCCTGTACTTTCTGCGGTTGGGACGATTGTTAAAAGTCTAGTCCAAGTACTTAGCAACGACTACTTTTTAAGGCTTAGTCACTTATTCACTATATCTGATTACTTGAACCTGACCAGCTATGAATCATAATCGTTGTCGTGGTTCCACTGGGTTGAACATGGTCTTGGTCAATTATGCATAAGTCATGTTCTTAATTCATACGCTAATCAGGATTTCAAGTTGAAAGTGGCCTATTTTTTCCCTGAAGCACCAGCATGTACTTAGGCCTGGAGTCCCTCGGATAGTTTCCGATAATTGATTTCTGGCCATCACCATCCAATCGATTTAATAGTTGTTACTTCCATTGTATGGTGTCTCTCCAGATCTTATTTTGATTCTGTTAATTTGTTTACTTTCTGATGCAGCGCTGGGAAGTCCGAGGATGGACATGTTGAAGAGAACTGAAGGGTTGTGAATTAATTTTGTCCCTGCGAAATAGACTTGAAGAAATTTGGAAATTGAAGACCGAGCTTCTTTTTTTTTTCCCCCGTGTTATTTAATTTGTCATAACTTTTCGAAACGCTTCTATTCTGAATTTCTGAGACACTATACTGAAACGGTTATAGACAATTTTGGTAGGTCTACTTGTAGCCTAGATACTCTTAGCTGTTATATCTTTGTTTATAGCCGATTGTGGCGGTAATTTTCGCCGTTTGAAAATCTGTATTAAACATCGATTGGGTTGTGAACTTACGATTTTGGTATTTATTTTCAACTCAATAATATGTGTATGTGCATAGGACAGATCTGATTCCCCTCCGCTGTTGATTTCTTGTATTTTGTTTTGATTTGATCCAATACGGTGGAATGACGCGAATTTCTGGTGTTGTATTATTTATATCTTAATGATATTGAGGATGATGATCTGTCATGTGTTGTACTGTTGCCTTTGTTGTCGTCGGTTACTTGTGAATAAGCACGGTTAAGGCTGGCTCAACGTGCACGTTTCTAAAGCAAATAAAGAACTTGTGTGGGTTGGTTGCTCAGTCTTGTTTTTGCCACTGGCTAAAATCAGTAACTGTCAGCTTCTAATATCGTTGGTCATTCTTAAATCGTTTGGCCATGGAGTTCGATCTGATAAATATTGTGGACGCTGGTGTACTCCACTTTGTTTACTGTAGCAGCTTTTGTAAAATTATGTGATGGATCCATAATGAAGTACGAGTTGATCGGCAAACTTTCTCCAGGTTGCCAATTTCCATATATAGAGAAAGAACGTTTTTTTTTTTTAGTTGCTAGATTGGAGGTACTCTTGTTGGATGGAACGACATGTCTCGGTTTTAAGTTTTAATTCGTCATGGTGTGAGAGGGACTGATTTTTTTTGTTAAATTCAATCCAAAAAGGGGATTTTGGGTGGTTGTTATCATGAGGAGAAGTTCATTTTGAGCCTTTGCACCTTAAGAGAGGTTAATCTCTATTAGAAATATTGCCCCTAACGTTAATTATGCACAAAGATTTGAGGTTATTTTGTTAAATTATGTAAATAAATAAATTCAGCAAATTTATGTTTACAAAATAATCATGGCCGAGCAAAACTTTACCTCCACTGGTCTTAATTATAGGAAGAAGTTTTACTTCCTAGCCTTGCTAGGTCCTAAATATCGGGCAAAATCGGTTAATTAATTTTCCCCCCCTAATTTTACCGTCCTTAATGGCAACAAGTTATTGGTATGTTTTAAATTCTTGAGAGTATTTTATTGTAGTAATTACTTTTAGTGAAGGGCAAAATTGAAAAATCACATCTTTTATATAAATTTAAGAATATGAACTACGGTCCCTTGAAAATAATAAATTAGTTAATTTTGTCCTCTAATCAGGTTTTTAATCCTTCACTCTTAACGAAGAGAGGCTGCAAAAGCAAAGAGAGTGCACTGGCATGTGGTGTGAGAGCCTGTGAGACTGTGAGGTTGAAAAGGCACTGACACAGAGAGAGAGAGAGAGAGAGAGAGTGCATGAATTTGAAGTAAATGGGATTCCTCCTGTGATGTTGGGTTCACACTTGAACCCTATTCCTTCCCTTCATCCATGGGAGTTCTCTTCGTTAATGTTCATCTCTACCTTGACGGCCAACTAATACCCGTCATCGCCGTGGCTATATCAGCTCAAAACGTAGCGGCTATTAAACTACCCCACGTCTCCCCCTGAGATCAAATCTCAACAGTTACTTTCATTAATCCCATAAATTTTTAATTTTGATTGCGACACTCTTTCTACCTATTAATTCAGCCCTCATATTTCATAATCATTCATTACTGTTTTGCTCTTGCATTCATGGCCTTTGATGCCTATTACCCGGACAAAAAATTCCATGTCTCGTGATTCGCTCTTATTAAATTTCTACTTGTAGACACCCCATGAGACATTTAGAGCCTTTAAAGACGCTAATCAGACTCATTTATGAGCTGCCATTTCTGTTGCCCTACGTTTCCTGCTTCTTTGACATTCACCAAACCTGCCCGTGAACTGTGAAAAAATGCTAAGTTTGTAGCTTAATCCATTGGTTTATTTTTGTAGAAGACACAATGATTTCACTGATCATTTGTGATCTCTGATATTAAAAGCTCAAAAATACAACTAATGACAAATGCCCACATTAATTCAATGAGGAGGGTTAAAATGCTTCATTATGTTATACAGCAATGGTTTATGAGACATGGATACTTACGGATGTTATTTAAGGCATGTTCTATCTTCAACACGGTTTTTCTTTGTTATCACTTATTAATGAAAACCGTACGCTTATTCCTTCCCCAAAAACTTATTTTCAACATACCTCATTAACTCTGGCAGTTGAACGTTGGATGTGTGCACCACTCGCTTCTCATTTACTGATTCTCACTTGCATTTAAGTATTCATCCCACTCTGGACATACCAACCCGTGCCTTCGTGGTTTTGTTTTGGCCTCAGTGGTGTCCTTGACAGCGTCCAAGATTCATGGACTTTCGGAAGAAGCTTCTTTTCGTAGCATTGCTCATTTTCGCTGTGATCCATGGAACTCAGGCAGATGCTATGGTAACCGGAACTGTGTTCTGTGACCAATGCAAGGATGGCCAAAGATCGCTTTTCGATTTTCCTGTTAATGGTAAGATCCATTGTCCTTCATTCACTTTGTTACTGTTTTAAATCACTGTGTCTTTCTTCCGCTTGTTTAAAGTACTCTTTCCCTATCATACAATACATTCTAAGTCAAAATATTGTGAGCAAAAGGATTTGATACTAATTTTACCTTGCTTTGCAACTCGATAAAAATCTTGGATGAACGCGCCTTTAAGATTACCTGGTAGAAAATCTAGTTGCGGTCAAAGATCGAGCACTCCGGGTCATATACCAATAATATTATTAACAATGCATAGAGCAACTAATTTTCATGATCTTCTTGGATTATCCCCTAAAATTGCATAGCTCGTTGAAATTTGAGGAGGGAACGAGTTTTAATCAGTCATTAAGATATTCAATGCTGTTTCTCCGCCACTGAGCGCTGTACTTAGAGATCCATGTTTCAAAGTTTGAACCGCAGTGATGGTTTTTTTTTTCCCCCACTCTTCCTTCTCACAGGTGCTAAAGTGACCATGACCTGTGCTGATAGCAATGGGCAAGTCACTATGTCAAGAGAAGAGACAACAAATTGGTTTGGAAGCTATACGATGAGGCTTGATGGAACACCGGACTTGAATGGTTGTTCTGCTCGTGTGTCAGGCAGTGGTGAGGGATCAATGGGTTGTGGTGAAGCTTCTGGTCCACCCCAGAACCTTAGACTTATGTTTAGGATGTTTGACATGGAAATGTACACAGTGGATCCTCTGCTAGCTCAGCCTGCCAAGCCAATGCAACAATGCGCATCATCTTCAAATCCTGTGCCCGCACCGCCAACACAGCACAAGTCTCCTCCGCCTTTCCAGCTTCCTCCAGTTGCTGGACTTCCTCCCTTGCCACCTTTGCCTCCATTGCCACCTCCGCCACCGCTTATCTTTGCAGAAGCTTCAGCGTGTCCTTACCGGTAAGATTATCGGCTTTAACAAAAAGATCATTTAGTGAAGCTTGTTATGTCAGATTGATGTCTGTATTTGATATATTGATGTCGAGCCAAGATGTGTAGTGCCGTTTGAGTTAATCAGATGGTATTTTTCAAGCTATCTTAAACCAACCAAAATTTATGTTGATTTTACATTTGTTAATATCTGAAAAAATACCAATTGTATTCAATAGTCATATTAAAATGCACCAAATACCTCCTTAGTGGGTTAAACCAATGGATCACACCAGTATAATTATGAAGGAAGGTTGAATTTAAGTTTTCTACTTCCTTGCACTGCAACAATGGAGTAATTACTTTGTGTGGATGTTGATAATTTGTCAGGAAGTGGACAACGCCAGAATACAAATGCTATTGGAGGGGGGTGAACCCAGAAACAAAAGTAGCAGTAGTTTTTGGAATGGCTGCAGCCAGGAGATATGGGAATGATATGACACTGTGGAATGGTCTGCATGGGAGAGGAGACCCTTACAGGACTTTGCTTAGAGAAGGAGTCACTGCACTTTTGAATTCCTACAACAGCCTTCAGTTCTCTTACCATCCACTTAGCGTGGTGCAGCACATGAATTGGGCCTTGATGGGTTCAACTAGGACTGTCCTCCTCACTGCTCTACGCTTCATGAGGGCCAATTCTGGTGCTGGAAATGTTACCTGCAAGTTCACCTCCTGCAAATGATTTATGCTTTCCTTTTCTTGCATATTCCTACATCTGATTTAGAGAAATCGCTATATATGTGATTTTCGGTTTATTTTTATCCTATATGCAGATTCTACCGTGTGAGATTAATTATACCTACAACACCTCATAGTAAAGCAGAGTATTTTCTCTATCATGACATCTCCGCTGTTCTTTATGATATACATAATACAAGTTGACATTTATATATATATATATATATATATATCGCATGATATCCTAGGAACTCTCTCTCTCTCTCTCTCTCTCTCTCTATCTATCTATCTATCATGGCTGCAAATGAGGATATAGACTCGTGTTTGGGAAATACTCTCTGCCCAAAAACTCGTTCCACGAACAGGTACGAATAACGTACAGACACAAGGGTCTCGAGTTAAACCAGCTTTTATCTTTTACTGTCCTAATTAATTTAGTCTTTTAATCTCAGCATGTGTCTTATTGTCAAGTAAGTTCAACATAATTTGACTAATAAAATTCACAACCACCTTTTTCTTTTTATCTTCATCACAACCACCTGAATCTCTTGTTTCCGTTACATGTTTAGGACGAATTTATGTTCAGTAGGAAATAATATAATAGTTCTTCTGGTCAAAAAAAATATATATATATATAATAGTTCTTTAAGTTTGATCCAGTTTTATTCTCAATAATAGGACTCAAATATCTGCCGTACCTTATTGATCCATAAATAAGTATGTGCCCCCGGCAAACAGTTCAAAATTAACTTTCACTCCGTGAAAAAATATTAAAATTGAAAATAATAAATTATATAGTATAAATGTCAACAATGGTGATTTAAAAATTTATGTAGCTCAATCTTGGGTGTTGAATGTGAATAACTGAATATAAGCAATACTTTCATAGCTGTCTTGGTTTGAAAAGATGTGCACTAATTTAATCGGGATGGGGCCCCAGTCCCCATGTTAAATATATGGGGTTGGAAAATATTCAAAAAAGAATTGAAAAGTCAACTGAACAGGGAAGAGCACCATCAAATGTAATGCACGCAAGGAACTATTTAGTTTAAATAGGAGAAAGAAACAAAGGGTTTCGGTACACTAATTTAGTCGGTGTGGGTTTCACTACAGAACTAATTAAATTCAAAGAGTAATTGATTACGGAGATTATTAAGCCCAATCCTTAACAAATCAAACAGCCAAACTCAATATTAGTCACTCATTTACAAGGGACACAGTGTACATCATAACTTGAGGGGTGCCTGTATGATTATGTATATTAAAAAAAAAATTAAAAAGGTCATATATCCCTTGATAGAAAGGGATGCAAGGGAAAAAATGAGCATGCTTTGAAAATGGAACACGATTTCAAAGAAAGTGACACGAGAGATTTTTTTGGTACAAGATATATATGTATTTACATATTATTTAAATCATCTGGCAATTGTGTCCATTAATGCCGCCAGATTTACAGTGATTTTGCTGCAATTTTTGGCCTTTTCTATTAAACCTAATTTAAATTTCATCCCAAACATCGGCTGAGCATGGTTGCTAATACAGCTAAACGACCACCCGCACCTTCAGACCGCCCTGCCACCCAAAAATCACCATTTGGTCAATTGTTGTTGAACGCCCTTTTGACTCTCCTCAGCATCCTCGGAACAAAGCCATCGTAGCCTTCATATTCTATATATACGCAAACAGAGACAAGTACAAGGCATTATGTTCTTACAGAGCCACAAACAACCATTTGGTATAAGCACTCTTCTGTTGCGTTCTCTCTGTGACTCAGAACAGAAAAAAGATGTCAAAGCAGGCATTTGAGATGATGATGCTTGTGTTGTTAATGGCGGCGGCAATGAGCCCATTAAGAGCTGCTGCTGAAGCGGAGAAGAAGGAGACCGTCACTAACCTCCATTTCTACTTCCACGACATAATCAGTGGAAAGAACCCGACTGCTGTTCGGGTGGTTGAACCCGTGGATACATACAAATCCACCACCCTTTTCGGAGTCGTGATGATGGCTGACGACCCCCTGACGGAGACGCCCGACCCGAATTCGAAGCTCGTGGGGCGGGCGCAGGGTCTTTATACGTCGGCATGTCAGCAGGAGTTGGGTTTGCTGATGTCCATGAGCTTCTCCTTTACAGATGGCAGCTCCATCAGCATTCTGGGCAAGAACTCGGCTATGAACCCGGTCCGAGAGATGCCGGTCGTGGGTGGCACCGGGAAGTTCCGGCTGGCACGGGCTATGCACTTGCCCACACTCACTGGCTCAACCCCGCCACCGGTGATGCCATTGTTGCCTATAACGTCACCGTGATTCAATAATTTTGCTCCTGTTTTCCTTTGAAATGTGCTGTGTGCCGATTCCGCTGAAAAATTCTTCTGTTCTCATACTGCGTGAGTGCGTGTAATAGCTAGCATATTTTACATTCATGATACTGATTATGTATGGACAGCGATTATATATTGATGCAATAGTGATTATTATATATTACTATTCGGTTTTAATCAATAATTAATTTGATATATTCACCCCAAAAAAAATCATTACATGTTATTTACTTTGCATCACAGAAGCGAAACGACCTGTGATCAAGTGTTGCACCAGGGGACAGTTTATTGAGTGCATAGTGCTTTTATCTTAGCTAATGGCTTTCACCATGCAAAGTTCCGCCGTTCCGCTAAAACTGACTGTTCGCACCGTTCACCCCAAAAAAAAAAAAGGGCCGTTTATGTCGTTTATTTAACTCAGACACGAAAGCAGGAGTCTTTTAGGCAAAACATATGGCAAACGGCAAATGAACCTTCTCGTAGTGCAATTGACCCAAAGTTGTGACCCAAGATAAAGCACACTGCCCTCGTCCTGTACTCTCAGCATTCTCAACCCCATCCATTATTTTGGGTTGCATGATGCAACACCAAAAGATCAATTATTCACACGAGCACATAAACGTCGGCACTGCCTTCCCCAAGATCTTTTTACAATAATAAAGAATTCTTTTATATATATAATATAAAACCCAATGAAAAAAAAAAGATCGAATTAGTCCGTTCAACTAAAAAACCAGTGAATCAGCTAATGGTCTAGTTTTGTCTAGGTATTAAACCGGTATCAACCTAATCAAACTGAGGATAAACTGATAAAAACCAATAATGAATCAGTTTAAATGATTATATTGCTATTTGTCTTATTTTTTCTCAATCAAATCCTAATATCTCAATCATTATAGATTTAAACGAATTTTAATGATGATTCTGGTATTACTGATTATTACTTTTAGTTATTCAAGAATCGTAAAGATCAAAATGCTTAATGTTGTTATACTTTGTTATTTTTAATTATATTATATTATTTTAATATGACCGATTTAACTCCAAGTTGATTCCAATTTGACTTATTAACCTTTTAACCATTACCTCAATTAGTTGAATGTCTAGTCTAATTTTTTATTTCTTGATAAAACCAATCTGTACCAGCTATTATTTTCAATGCTGCTTATTGAAATGGAGAAAATTTTAAAAATATGTAACTGTTTTAAAATTAAAAAAAAAATCCCCTACGCTGCCCCATATCAATGTGATGCTCCACATAAAAGCCCCCCTCCTCGAAATGCCTATGCCTTATAAATAAGATTGAACAAGTACTTTTCATATTCTTAATATAAGACCTAATTATTGAGTTAATGTTAATCCTAAATATAAAACTTATTTTTCATATTTATTAATTTTTTTCTAAATTACCCCTATACATCACCCTCAACCATAATGAACTAAAAAAAGAAAATACTATCTCTGGTCCTAATTATAAGAGTTAGTTGACTAATTTAAATATATTAAAAAAAATTAAATTAGTTATTTATAATAAATAGATATTGTCTTTTCTAAAATATCCTTACTAATTAAGTGTATTTGCTAGAATTATTGTTAGAAAGACTCTTCAAAAAAAAGTATAAATATGAAAGACAAAATAAATTTGGATCTTATATTTAAGACTAAAATAAAAGTTAAACAAGATCTTATATTAAAGACCGGAAGTAATAAGATATTCAGGAAGATAATCATAATATTTTAAAAAAAACATGTCACATTTCTTATAATTAACTAACTTACCTAATTTTTTTAATCTAATCAAATTAGTTAAATAGATATTATACTAAAGACAAGAAGAACATAATTTATCATGAACCTCACGCAACAGACGACCAACAAAATTGCGTTTAGAATGGACTGGTTAACATTTTAACTGCCCATTTTCCACTTGCCGCCAAGCGTCAGTTATGCACCCTAGTCCCGGCGTATGGCAACAGCTAAATAGAGCAATGCAGTGTGATAACATCAAAAATACAGAAGATCTAGTGGTTGGCATTCAACGTCTATTCTCCTTCCCAGTCTCTCTGTCCTCCACTTAGCAACAGCGTTCCTCGGGCGTTCGCCACGCCTAGGAGTGGCTATACTACGTCGAACATATGGTGACAAGAAAAGCTGGGATTTGCACTGCCTTCTAAGATACAGGGGATATATATTAATGCCCGAACCATAACAACAAACGAGAGAGAATGATTCCGGGGGAATGAAAAATCATCGATCTAAGTATGAAAGCCAAGTGATAACACCATAAGATAAAACAAATAAATCCACGCAACCATAGGTAATTAAAATAGACATTACTCAAAAGATGCATTACTTGAAATCCAATAGCATGATGCAACAAAAATACCGGAGGTGAACATCTAAGAAGGGAAGCTACAAAGACTAAGATCAAAGAAGATACTTGTAGGTATAAAACACATGAAGCAACTTAGTATCACTCATTTCATGGTGACCAGCAAGACATGCTATCTTGAAAGTTATTCCTAAGAGTATTACCCCGCAAGTGTCGCAGCATAGAAAAACTAACTTTATCATTGTCGTCATTGTCCGAACTGCAGCTGTTGAGCATAACCAGCAAGCTTCTTAAGTAGAGGGACAAGCCCAATCAAAACGATTTGAAGTTGTTCTGAGCTATTTAATCTAATACTGATTTGTCCCGCTCCTCTGTTGTTCAAATTGGCACGGGCAATGACATTTGTATGCCTTCCAACAGGGATCTGTGATTGTAAATTACAGCCAACCGCAAGGTCCCCATGCCAATCCATAATAGATAGACCAAGAGTTGACAGCGAGCGTCCAAGAGGATAATCTTTATCTCTCAATTGAGCCTCCAAACTGCCACCATAAGCAACGTCACCACGACTGGTCATTGCACCCCCAGTTAAAACCACCTTGAACCTTTTATTAGCAACCAATTTATCTTCAACTTTCACTCCACCTGAAAATGAATCGCCCAGGACAGTAAAGGAGAGTCCAGCAGTTGCCTTATTTCTCCTAAAATTACAAAATCTTGTCTCACTGCGTAAGGTATACGCTAAGTCCTTCCCAACAGTCTGCATGTCAAAACCTAATGAAGTTGCTTTCCCTTCCCCATGCTTTATGGAACTGGCTATTTCCATCTGGACATTAGCATCCTTTTTATCCTTTGAAATCTGACCAGAGAAAGACAAGGGTATCTTGTCTCTAAGAACAAACAATCTTTCTGCATTTATTCCTTCATAACCCACATCATGATCCCATCCGTGAGTTTCAAGCACAGGTCTCACAAGCCACTGGTTGGATGAATCAAGATATCGATAGCGATGAGTAGGATTATCAGAATCAAAAGAGGCAGGCAACGCTAGATCTGGCATAGGAACAGGTACAGAAGCTGCACTGCTACTTTCTTCTTCTGCATTTTCACTGAAGTCAGTCGGCAAATCTTTTGCAGATTCTGCTATTTTCTTCATCAACTTTCGCTGCTTTTTTTCTTCCTTCAATTGCTTCTTCATAAAGAGCTTTTCTCTGTATTCTAATTCATCAAAATATGCCTTCTTCTGAGCTTTAGACAGTTGTTCCAGTTGGGCCTTTGTTAAAGGTTTAAAAGGTGGCAAGTCATTAAGCTCTGTTTCATCATCAGAGTCAGATGACTCATCCAGTTCATCATCAATGCTGTCCTCATCACCAAACTGCTCCTCTGGTGTCTTCAACTGTGGTCTTGACTGCAGAAGAGATGATAATAGAAAAGGTAGTGGTGGAGCCCTAGCCCGAGCTGGGTAAGGCTTTCCAGGTGGACTATCTTGCAACTTAAGAAGAGCATTTGCTTCCGCAAGAATTTTTGATGCAAAAGACAGAAGTAATAAGTGAGGTTTCCAAACCTGGCCATTTGGCAACACTCTCTGCCCAGCCCTATTTGTTCTGCATGCAGAGTGGTTCTCTACCAATGATACAGGATTCATGAGTCGCATATCTCCAGCAGCTTGGCGAATAGCTTGCTGCACAACATGAGAACGCTGGGTGACAAACATATCATAGCTAGAGGCTGTACCATTAGGACCATCAGGTGGAGCAGATGCCGCATGAGTCAAAACCACAATAGCATTGAACCATATTGATGGCCCAAAAATCTCAGTAATTGTGCGTAACAGTGGCATATCACTAAAATCCCTGCTCTGCATGTCTAATCTATCAAGATACAGTACAATATCTGGTGGTGTTTTCTTGATAAACCGTTTGACAGAGTGAAGGATCCTCTCATTATGGCGCTGATCGGACAAGGGCGGTAGAAGCCCTGGTGTATCAATGACTCTTACCTTTATGCCCTGCACAGTTCCCACGATGTCCTGAACTTTCTTTGTTCCCATATGAAAAGCATCAGTATTGAACTTAACCTCATCAAAAATAGAATTGATGGTAGCACTTTTACCAACTCCAGTTTTTCCAAGAACCATTATTGTGCAAGAGAAATCAAGAGGCTCTTGACCTGCTGCTTCAAGCTGCTCAGCCATAGCACTAGCCCGATCAAAACTAAAAGCCCCAACACGGCCCCCGTTTCTCCCTCTGAGCTGCTCTGCCAACCCTAGTCTATACAAAACCTGTGCTACAACAACATTATGTGGAGTCTGCCCAAGCCTGTGAGCCAGGCGTAAAAACTTCACCCTGATCATCTGAAGTTTCTCTCGAGTTTCATCATTCTCCTCAGCCTCAACATTTGAGGAGTCCTCAATTTGTTGAGACTGCGTACCAGATACAGTACCATTTGCTCGAGGCTGTGGCACCACCCTAGGTGCAGGTTCCAATAATGGTGCGGCCCGCCCAAGGCCAGCTGGACGAACAGGAGATGGATTAGTAACAGCTGGTTTTCCAGTTGAAGAAACAGGCTCCCCAGCATGCTGAACATTCTGTTCTTGAGTGATGTGAGGGGCATGCTTCTCTTTGACATTCTTCTCCTGTAATTTTTCAGGCTCCTCAACAACAGGGGAGCCATCACAGCCCCCAACAAATTCTTTGTCATCGTTTTGAGATGGATAACTTTTGTCCGTTCCTTCAATAAATTCAGCCACTGTAGCTTGAATACTTTCCTTATCAGTAGAAGGATTTTGCAAAGATGAGCTTCCAGCATCCAGGTCCATTGCCCTCTCCCCCACAGATTCCAGTGGAATGGGGGAAGCGTCTCCTAGTTCAGTTACTGCTTCCTTATGCTCTAAGTCTGATCCAGCCGTAGTATCCTTTGCATTCACATTGCAATGATCTTCACATTCAGTACTCTTATCATCAGATATACACAACCCTTCAGTATAGTTATTCTCGTGGCTTATATCAGTGCCGTGGACTTCATAATTTACATCCCCAGTAGTTTCAACCTGATGTTCTGCAGCCACGTGAGCTGAGCTGCCGTGTACTTCTTCACCACTATTATCTTCAATTTCATGATGAGGTTTGCCTGGAGCATTAGACTGCTCCTCAGTACTGCCATCCCAAGATACAATATCCTTGATACTTCCCTCCAAATCTTCAACCTTAGAACCAGCACCTTCATCCAGAATCTTCTCACTGGCTTCAGATTCTGTATAAGATTCAGAAACAACAGTATCCACCCTGTCTCCACATTCATTTTCCAAGACCAGACCTCCGTTTGCACTTGGAGTCAAATACTCCTCATTTTCAGTCTTCTCGCTCGCTAAACCAGAGCTAATATTTGTGATGCCAGCATTCTCCCTAACAACTACATCTGTGTTTAACTCAGATGATGCCTTTCCAGCATTCTCATCACTGCCCTCCAACTCATCCTTCCCTGCACCGTATGATTCATTACCCAATACTCCATCTACGGTCCCTCCAGAATCAATTCCATCCAAATGAATGCTATCAAGTCCCTCCTGATTAACAATTACTTCTGCCTCCCCCTCCATGGGTTCGCCAGACTCAGAAGCAATGGAAACCGCCTCCTCAAAGTTCTCCGCCTCTTGAGGAGCGTCAAGATTTTCATGCAGCAGAGTAGAATCCGAAGCACTAAATGTGTCAGAAGGATCGTCATCTCCAATATTATCCTCGGGATGGCCGTTTTCTCCCCGATCATGGGAATGCTCTCGATCCTCTGTTGCCTTCTCTGGCATCTCTTCTGCTTTCAAATCCTTCAATTCGTCAGGCCCTGCACTGGTCTCGGTAGAGACCTCATCCTCCACGCTATTCCTCTCTATGTCGTGATATCCATTAGAAGACTCAGCACCATAATCCATGAGCAATACACAATGATGCTACCAACCCTAGATTCACCGCAAAGGGATAGAGAAAAAGAATCAGAAACCTAGTTATCGAAGGGTCTGCAACAGAAGTGGGGGACGGAAAGGAAGCATGACTGGTATTGAGACGATTTACAATCACAAGCGTCAAGAACGAATTGAAATAGACAACCTATATCAAAACGTTAAAATGATGACGAGATAAGCTAGAAAACCAGAAAGAAATGGATCTGTACGGTTAGAGGTAATTAATTAATGGAGCGGCCCATGAATAGCAGATCCTCAGTGTAGGGGCGAGTGGGATTAGTTTCTATTAGGGTTTTGCACAATCAAGAAAGAGCGGAAAACAAAAAGAAGCATTCAATTACAGTCGGCAACATGAGAGGAGCTAACCTGATTATGGCCGGCCGAGAAAGAAATGAAAGAGAGAATAGGAAGGTGTGAGTGTGGGTTAGATGAAAGAGTCAAGAGGATCTCCCTTCTCAGCTCTTATCTGCTAACCCCGTGTTTGCACTTTCCAGTAAATTGATCGACGGGCGAAGATGAGCTGGGGGATTTGAAAGATCCGACGGTGGTTGATGGTGCAGATGCGAGTATCGTGAGGCACACAGAATATGATGACGTGGACTGAAGGAATCTAGAAGGGGGGAAATGAATAAGGTGAAATATAGTTTGATTTTTATTTTGATCTTAAATATAAGATCCAAATCCATTTTGTCTCTAATATTTTTTTTTTTAAGATAGTCCTTTTAACAATAATAACTCTAGTCAATAAACTTGATTAGTAAAAATATTTTAGAAAAAACAATGCTTATTTATTACAAATAACCAACTTAATTTTTTTTTAAATTTTGTTAAATTAATTAACTAGTTTTTATAATTAAAACGTAATATGTGTGTGTATATTTTGCCAGAGCTCTGTACAAATATTATAAACGTCTACGAAACTAACGAGTGATAAGGGATAAATTCATGGGGAGAGATAGGAATCTAATAGATGCTGTACAAATTTTTCCGATTCCGATTCCTTTTCTATGGAGGACCCAGATGGGGCCTAACGTTGGGTTTGTATCTGGATCTCTAGGGAGTTTATCAACATCGTATGCCATTGGGAAATACATCTCTGGTGCGCGCTTCAAATTTAGATGACCATAATCTTACTGAACCAAAATTCGAGAAGAGGAGCACTGAAATCTTTGAGTGAAATGGGGCTCTATGCCTCTTTCAGAGCTGTCCCAGGTTCCTGAATGAATTTTGATAGGGATAACACGATTGTGTTTGAAGGAGGATGCACTTATTTTGATTTACAGGGCGTTGATTGTGTATTAAGGTCACAAAAACCATTTTGGTGCGCCAAAATGTTGGCAAATTTTTGTGTTTCAGGACAATATATCCACTTGTTGGGCATATTCACTGTCAAAGGCGCTGCAATTAATCCTCTCTGTGACGGGCACAAGTGACCTAAACAGCAACTTTTTCATGCCAAAGCAAACCATTAACAAGGCCTGTCAAATCGCGACGTACGTACACAGTCCTTGTCGTATATGCTTGTTGGAAACAGTACAGCCAAAAACTTTGGGTTGCATATAGCAACAGCAAGAGCATTCATCAATTGTTCATGCAGGTACACAACAAATGCGCACCATATCCGCGTCTGGACTGCTTCAAAAGATTCTCCTCCCACACTTGATGCCTACAGCCTTTCCCCCATGACCTTTTCTGATAATTAAAAAGCTGCCCCATTCATTTACATTTGAGACTTGACACCACAAGGGTTTTGTCTCAATCTTGATGGATGGACTTGCCTTAAAATTGCGGGCACACTTACCATTTTAACCCCGTGCATGCACCTCGAGAGTACAAGGGGATCACCAGGGAAGGAATAAGGATATAAAAGTTCCCTAATTTACTGATTGGTGCATGAATATACATATACCAGATCACTTCCTTGGTTTGTTCAAGAGTGTCATTGGTTGCTTGCGAAAGCAAACGAGCATGACCATTCCATCACAGTCAGATATCTGAAAGAGATTAGTATAAGAGGAAATCTGACGTGAAGGTGTGTGTCTCGATCAGAGTTGGAGTTGGGGGAGAGCGAAGGAGTCAAAGTAATCTAGGGATGAGAATGGGGGATGAAGTCTGCATCCGACGGCGTAAATGGTGGCATGTATGTATGAATATGATGGGAAGATACGCCCGTTTTTGCTGACGTGGACGAAAAGCAAAAAGGCATATTACTTGACTTCCTCCCACTTACTGCTTTTTGGGATCATAATTAGAGGCAAAATACTTATATATTTACTTTTTTTTTAATAAATCACAATTAAAAAATAATTTTTAAAACTTAAATTATTGTTCTAAACAAGTTCTTAATTTCCAATGCGGAGAAGGACCAGAGATATCTCAACCGTGGATGGTATCATGATGGATGGTCAATTCACAAAATATTGCAATCCACTTTTCGTACCGCGTTATTGTAGTGTCTGGTTCCAAAAGAGGAGAGGCGTTTTAATAAAATAAAATAAAAAGGGAAGGTACTTATTAAAAGGAGAAGAGAAGAAGGTAGAGATTTTAATAATTCTTCAAATGGAACCTTATAATTAGGGTTAGTCGGTATGGAAGAATGAGGTCACTTTTTTAATTGGATTGCCATGCTTTTTGGGATTAGAAAATGGTTGCTTCGTAAAAAGAACCGTTTTTCTTACCTACTCCAAAGAAATAAACTATCCTCCAAATCTGCAACATTTTCAGGAGGGAGGAACGGGGGATGAGGGCAGTGAACTTCAAAGCGAGAATGGAAGTGAGTGTTAGATTTGAATCCCAACTGTGGTGATCTCAGAGACCATAAAGACACCGGCAAGCCTGCGAATACTGGTGGGAAGGATGATCATCTGGTTTATGCAGCTTGTTCTTTTGTTTGTTTTATTTTTTGGAAAAACAGAACAGGTGGAGCTGAGGCAAAAATAATTATAAGGGTGTTATTAGTTATTTTTATCACATATGACTTAGAATCATAGTATAAAAACTGAAAAAAACTGAGAATTGAGTTACAAATAAGTTAAAAGTTCAGAAACCAAGTTGTACCAAGTTATAATTGAGGGATTGAGTTAAAACTGAGTTAAAAATTAAAGAACTAAAAGATTAATTTTCTTATAAATATATTAGCCCGTAAATCAAGTGAATGAGTCAGTCTGTTGGCCACTTGGGTCTAGAAATTATTTTGTCTAACAGTCGAACTGCATGTGATTTGAACCTAATAGTTAATTTATATCTGTCGTGAAAAAAACCAAATAACGAAGACTCTAGATTAAATGAATTTTATGACCGAGTGAATATAAATTTAGCATCATTTCCTATTCGTGGGTCCCTTTTCCTTCGCATACAACGAGGAATAATTGTTCTGACCCAAAAAGAAAAAAAAACTAAGGCAAAACGGGGATCATTGTATTGTAGCTAATACACACGAAAGGAACATTGAATTGATGACAAAGCAATGGAGAAAAGAAAAGAACCGATTTGGGCACAAGCATTGATATCCAACAAAAGTTTCTTTAGGAAAAGAAGTATTCGAGTTTTCATCATTGTCCGATATATGATGTGTAATCCCAGCAGCAAGCGTAGAACCAATCAGGAGGAGGAGAAAGCAAAAATTCTTCCTCTCCCTTGTCCGATTCATTGTCGTCCAAAATAGAAGATGGGCTCCGCGGTTGCTACACAGATCGAAAGACGAAACACACTCGAAATCCAAAACAGAAGTCTTTCTGATCTTAAACTTTATGGGCAAGACTTTCCTGGTTCTCGTTACCACCCCCGAGATAGAAAAAATTGGATGTCAACTCTCAACCCAAAAAATCTTCATATTTATAAAATTGTTTGGCCAGGAACCCATGATTCTGCAACCAACAAAATCGGCGTCCCCTTCATCTCTCGCCCTTTCGCACAATGCCAAACGTTATCTGTCCATGAACAGCTCGTGATGGGCACGCGAGTGCTTGATATTCGTGTTGAGGAGAATGGCAATGTATGTCACGGAATTCTGATTACGTACGGAATTCAAGTTGTGATGGATGATGTGAAAAGATTTCTCTCAGAAACGAAGTCAGAGATCATAATTCTCGAGCTCAGAACGGAGATTGGGCACAGGGACCCGCCTGGGTTTGATAAGTATTTGGTGGATCAACTCGGGGAGCTTCTGATTCACCAGGATGATAATGTATTCAAGAAGACTATCGCGGAGGTTTTACCTAGGAGGATTATTTGTGTTTGGAGGCCGAGAAAATTGAGTTCCCCAGAAAGAGGGGGTGCCTTGTGGAGCGCAGGGTATTTGAAGGATGACTGGATCAACACAGACTTACCGTCAACGAAATTCGAGAGCAATATGAAGCATTTGAAGGAACAAGCACCGGTGGCGTCCAGGAAGTATTTTTATAGGGTGGAGAATACGGTCACGCCGGTGCCAGATAACCCAGTTCTGCATGTGAAACCTGTTACAAAGAGAATCCATCGGTATGCTAGGCTCTTCATTGCTCAGTGCTTCTCCCAGGGGTGTGATGATAGGCTTCAGATATTTTCCACGGATTTCATAGATCAAGATTTTGTTGATGCATGTGTTGGTCTTACTCACGCAAGAATTCAAGGGATAGCTTGAAACTTTCTGTGCAATCATAGTTCAATTCTCGTGTATACCATCTTTCTATGTTTCCTCTACGTAATCAATGGCATTAATATTCACGTACCTCAGACAGAAATTCAGTTCAAGAAAAAGCATCAAACTTTAGATTATTTGAATCGCTTCTGCATTATAACCATGGTTTGTCCTATTGATCCTCACCCGCTAGCCTGTCATCAGTATGCTTTGAACCCGGAAAATAAGGTCATCCTCGTCGTGATCATGATGATTATTTTCCTCAGTGAGCCAAATAGCTTCTCTGGAGTCGCCGAAGAGAACCGCATTCCCAAGCTCTTTTCAATCCCATCAAGCAACCCCATAGCTCTCATGTAAGAATTTCTCAATAAATTCATGCAGTCTAAGCATGAAAGCATCAAGAAATGTGCCGAAATGATATCTAATAATGCCTCCACAGCCCGTTTGCTTCACGGCATAAGGGAAGGTGCCATCTATATTCATAGCAACCCATCCTTCCTCAAGGCACATTGGCCCCTGCATGTTTGATGCCTGCCTCCTCTGTACAACTAAGACTAACTTTAGCTCTAATCAACAACACTTGATCACTAGTATGTTTCTCTTCCAAGATCCTTTCATTTCTTCCTTCCCACAAAGTCGCCAAATAATAGCAAATAAGTCACGCCATCAAATGGATAACGAGATATCATTCCTGACCATCCTGTCCCAAAACTCATCGACATAGAACCTTTTTAAATGCGACGGAAATGGCGGGTTGTTGAACCAAAGCATGAAGTCCATGCTCTTCCCAAGATTTATTGGTGAGGAGTTAATTATGAAAGGTGAGCCAAAGGAAGGCGTTACACCTCCTAGGAATCTCAAGTTCCCATATCCTTTATGACATTGGATAATAATTAGGATGATCATTGTTCAAGAGAGGAATTTTAATGAGTCCTGAATCCATCATCATCAGTTCCCAGCTGCAGAAGCCAGAATCCGGACTAGTGTTGTTAAGCTGCAATATGATCTATATATGGACGCATGCACGTCTATTTTTACTCACATAATGCAAGACAATAGTACTCAGATATAAGATCCATATATGTGTGTTGTTGACGGGGCTGAGATTTGGGGAGAATGGCAATTAAATGTCAGGGTAGCTTGGAGATGTGAACTCTCAGTAAGGAGTTTTGCCATCAATCTCTTCATTTCTAATCATTCTAGATATTTGTTATTTAATTATTCAACAAAAAATATAATTATACATAGGAAGTTTCTTTAAGGAGACATTAAAAAAGATTAGAAATGATTTTATTACAGAAAAGGTGACGTTAATTAAAGGCTGGGCTCCACATAAACTCACAATTCATTGAAACCTCGGACTCATATAAGCGTAGCTGCCCGAAAGTCCACAACTCCATATCTCCTCTTCTGTCTCCTTCATCAAGCCCTCTTACTCTGCTACAGACAGAGATGGCCTCTTCAAGGAGTGGCTACAGAAAGAAATCTTGCAAGGTGAAATGAGGGAAGGAGTTCATGAAGATGCTCGTCATCAATTATACAGCTACACAACATCTCCTCACCATTCGTCCCTGCCTGTGACTCCATGTCAGGTTATCATCACACATCACAACTTGAATCCATGATCCATTTGCTCTCCAGAGAAGCTTCAAATCCTCAAACAGGCTTCGCCCTGTCCCATCACAGCCGCTTGCTGGTTAGCCTTCTCGCTTTTGAAACCCTCAGGTAAACATAAACACATTGGTCGTGTCGGTGAAGGGCCAAGATCTCCATGACTCAACCCCTTCACAAGCACTAGAAATGGCATCACGTTTCAATTTTAAATAGCGTCAACGAAAGGGCACAAATCAAAGTTATGACACCCCAATCACTGAATCAGTGCCTCTTCTCTGCTTTGAAAATGCTTCAGCAATGGCGTCTTTGGAGATTACAATTCCAGGCAACACTCCCGCGCTCCCTTCTATTTTATACCCTCATTACTTTTATTTTTTTGGCCAATTATACCCTCATTACTGAGGTTCATATAAATTTCATCCTGATTAAATTTTTAGGGAGCAATTACTGACTAATTTTAATTAAACTCCCAATCAAATTGTAAAGGGTCGGGAAACCAGGGTTGACGATTTCACTGCGCATCAGCTTCTCGCAGGACGATTCCCAATCCAACGCTCAATATTCAATCATTTCAGATCTCTGGCCGTTGGATCATCCTTCCAGCAAATCTGAAATTGTCGCTGTCACATGGATCGCCGCTGGTCCCAAAATAATGGCCCCACAAAAGGCACAGAGATATTTATCCGCGATTTAATATTTAATATTTGATATTTGATGATCGCGGTCCTTCGCTGACGTGTCCAACCCTATTTCCGGTTGTTGCATATAAGTACAGCCTCTCTGCCCCTTCTGGCCCTAGCGCTAAAGCCAGAGAAAGAGAGAGATCCGAGCAGAGATGGGTGAGAGGGTGACTGGGAAGGTGAAGTGGTTCAGTGACCAGAAGGGTTTCGGCTTCATCACCCCGGATGATGGCGGCGAGGACCTCTTTGTCCACCAATCTGCGATCCGGTCCGATGGGTTTCGCAGTCTTGGCGACGGAGAGTCTGTCGAGTTTCTGATCGAGTCCGACTCCGATGGCCGTACCAAGGCCGTCGACGTCACCGGCCCCTCCGAGTCTAATGTTCAGGGGAGCCGACGCGGTGGAGGCGGTGCTGGGGGGAACAGATCCTTCGGAGGCGGCCGAGGCGGTTCTTATGGCGGTGGCTACGGGGCTGGTGGAGGTTATGGTGGCAGTCGCGGTGGAAGAGGCGGGGGTGGCGGTGGCTATGGCGGTGGATTCGGCGGCGGCGGCGGCGGAGGGGGTTGTTATAACTGCGGTGAGGTTGGTCACCTGGCCAGGGATTGCTACCAGGGAGGCGGCGGCGGCGGAGGAGGAGGTAGGTACGGCGGCGGAGGCGGCGGAGGCTGCTACAACTGTGGGGAGTCTGGGCATTTTGCCAGGGACTGCCCAACCGGCGCTCGCTGAGCCTGTTTTATGCTTTCTAATGTCTCTATCCGATCCTTTTGTGGTGCCGTGATGGGTGGATTTGCTTTGTGTTATGCGGTTCGTTTTCTGCTATAATTTGGAACTTATGTTTTGAGAAGGGTAGGGTTTTTGGGGCTGAATCTATTTAGTTGGGGCTTTATTTTGAAGTTCATAGGGTAAGCAGTTAGACTTGGGATTTTGTGTTTCTGGCATAGTGAAATGGAGGGATTATGGTAAAGATCAGATGTGAGTAGATGTATACTCTCTGTTTCTAAGTGTTAATACACATGATGAACAAAATCTATCCTGCCTTATTCTTGTTATCTTATTATAAACATGATCTCTTGGATGTTCCGATGGTAGTGGATTGCCAGCTAAAGAAAGTGCGCATGTTTTTTTTTTTTTTTGGTGATTGCTACGGATGTTGATATGGTCTCTGTTAGGAGGTGTATGGTAATTGAGAGTCAATAAAGAGACCCCACAAAGATCCTAGACAAGAGATTGTAATCTCTCAAGCTGACTTGTATCAGTTCCGTTGTCTAGGGGGTCAAAATAACATTGCTGTCTCTCATTTTCTTGTGCTTGGGGGGGGGGGGGGTGTAGTCTCAATACAGGAAGCTGTGGTTTTGGAGGGTCTGGCTTCTTGCTTGATTGCAGGGAAAGCAAAGGCAATGTTAAGTTCATGCCAAAAAAAATAGAAAATAGCCGAAGAAAGGGAAGATGCGGTTTATGAATATTGGTAGAAGAGCGATGATGTAAGCTTTGTTTGGTTTGATAGAAATCCTGAATGATAGTGGCTGCCTTGGTTTTATAGAAATCCTGAATGATAGTGGCTGCCTTAGATGACTAGATGTGGTCGGGTCTAAGCAGTTTTGTGGGGAAGATAAGAGAGACATGGCTATTTGCCCAGGTTTACCCTCGTAGCATCAGCCAGTGAGGACTCCACTCTAATGCTCTGTGACTGTGGTGTTCTTCGCCAAAAATAGGAACAGATGGAGTGGTTCTCGAGGACATGGAGACATGTGAAGGGTCGCATTCTCCTTGGTTGCTACAGGCGTTTCAACTTTCACTGTTTACTTGCAAAAGCTGAGGCAGTAACAATTTTAATCACCATATCCATTAATATAATGCAACAAGTTCTATTCTACACAAGTGGTGACTGATGAACTCGTCTTTGAAATTGTGTTTGACATAGGAAAATGTATCTAGGTCTTTTTCAACAGCAGCTGAGGATTTGTTGTTCTTTTCACAATAATGCTCTTATATTTGAAGCTATTAGATGATTTTATGAAAATATATGTTCTGTTTAAAATATGCCATTTAAAAATAATGAATGAATAATAAGAAATAGCAAATAAACGACGCCATGCTATTATGTTTTATATATCGATTTACTGATGACTAATTAGTAATTTAAGCCATTATTTATCATCGGATGTTCTTTAATGTAATCACTTGATGTCTCTTCTGTCATGTAAGAATATTATAATTTGGAAAAATTGAATTTTATTTCAATATTTAAATGTGAACTTTTCAAAACATGATGAAAAAAGAACTCCTCTGAAAACGAAGGATGTGAAAATAAGTTACGAAAGAAGTTGTATTATTCGGAATTTAGGAATATAATAATTTTCTTCTGAATTTTGTCTTTTGGATTGATATTGATATTAACAATAAGATAAATCGAATGTAGTAATATAATTAAAGAAAAAAGAAAGTAACCTATCGATTTTTATTTGGAAAAATAGAGGGGGGCTTTTTTTTAAAAGAAAAAATAAAAGAAGGGGAAAATAGGAGAAAGGAACATGAGAATAAAGGCTGAACATTGGGCTGTTGTCGGGATCCATGTCCATCGGCTTGACAACGGAAGCGGGAGCTTCTCTCATAGTAGACCCTTCATTGTCTGTGGAGTCGTAGGTGGTGAGACACCTCAAAGCCTCTTTTGGAGTTAAATTAGATTTTAAGAACTTATACTTAGAATTTCTTAGAAAAATATTTTAATGCTGTTGAAATGTTTACGTAAGATAAGAAAACAAAAAGAAAGTCGTGTGATTAAGTTTATTCGTGGAAGAGATTGGAAACGGAGCCCCCACCAAAATGAAGTATCCAACGGTGAATCCATACAGGGCATGGGTCTCTTCCCCAGAATCAAAATCTAGAACTACCGGAAGGGAGATATTACTATTGGATTGCCGATTTCCTGTGCATTCAAGATTTTTAAATCTATTTAGTTTCTTTTTTGGCCAACGAAATCTATTTAATTCATTGTCGAAGCTTAGATTTTGTGACCTTTTTTTGGCCCGAAGATTTGAATTCCACAGTTCTCATAGTTATATAATTTGGTTATAAAATCAATGATAACAAATGAAGTCCTCAACTCAACTAACAAAAAAGGGGGCTATATAAGGGACTGCGCCAAAAGAACAAAAATACATATATATTTTGTTGAGCTTTAGCAGCCAGCGGAATGGACATCCGTGATAGGCATGTATGCATCAACGGGGAGGAAGTTGATGAGGAGAAGGGTGAAGAGCCGGCGAGGGAGCGGTGGCATTCAAAATTTGTGGCGGCGATATGGGCACCGCCGGAGGGATGGGGCACTGGTAGCACTTGGTGAAGAGGCCGAAGGTGTCAATCTGGTGTATGAAATTAACCATGCTCGCCCACCCACCGAATCCAAACCCCACCACCGTCACCCACACCACCACTATCACGTTGATCGTAAACGCTCCCACCCACCTTCCTACGTACTTCGGAGGCTGCTCCACCGCATTCTGCAAATTAACGCCTCACAATTAGCTATTACCTCCTGTCTTTAATATAAGATCTTGTTTGATTTTTATTTTGGTCTTAATTATAAGATCCTAATATACTTTGTCTATCATATTTATACATTCTTTTTCAAAATAGTCCATTTAATAATAATAGTTCTAACCAATAAATTTAATTAGTTTAATTTATTTTTTTAATTTCCTTAGATTAATCAATTAGTTTTTATAACCATGAGATGAGACAGTAATTAATAAGCTCCACACACACATATATATTGAAACGGAATCAATGAACTCAGATGTGTACCTGTCTGGAAGAAGGTGAGAGGAAGGTGAAGATGTGGGCCAGAGCGGGGATGATGTAGACGGTGAAGCTGACGAGGAGGGATCCTACGGTGGAATTGATGGGGCCGAAGAAAGGGAAAATGATGGCCAGGAACCAGATGGGGATAACGACGGGCAATCTGACGGCGGCCCGCTTACAGAGGCTGGTGGAGGAGTGCATGCCGATGGCTTTCTCCCACACCAAGTAGAGAGGCGTGCAGGCGAAGCCGAAGGTTATGAACTGGTGGATTAGCATCAGGATCACGGCGGCGTCTCGGAACGGCGTTCGGGGAAGCAGAGAGAAGGCGTTTGAATGATCTAAGAGCAGGTCGCCGAACGCCCAGTACACCGCCGCCGCCGATGGAAGCGTTAGCGTCAGCACATACGCCGTCGCCAATAAGTATATGCTCTTGAACTTCTCCGGCTTCCACATGGCGTGCATTATCTCCCTGTCCAATTATTTTTCCCATCAATTGCTACTTCGTCCCAACAAAAAAAAAATTATGGTTTCACGAGTCCTCACCCTCTCAACCAATCATCCTTCACTGCAGATTATATAATTCAAATCCTCTGAAATACAAGGTTTATTTTTGAAAAATATAGAGCATAAATAGAAGAATGAATCTCACACAGTTATAATTCTTTTATAAGAGGTGACACAAGGCTGGCACCGGACCAAGGCGGCCGGCGGCAAAAGGGAAAGAGAAAAAGGAGAAAACTTTTGGGATGACACGAGAAAACAGAATGATTAGGAGAAAGGAAAAAAGGAGTTAAGCAGAAGCAATGACAGGGAAAATGGCGGTTCCTTTTGCTTTTGGGCATCGCACGCCGGACAAGGCCATTGGCATTTTTAGGCCGCAAATGCAAAGGCAGAATTAATATATAGGAGAAAGCAAACGAGGTCAAGGACAGGAATTAAGGTCTTACACTGTAACAGCATGTCCCCCGAACGTGTAGAGAATGTTGGTGGCCCCCGTGAAGTAGAGCACCAGCTTGGTTGGACCCGAATGCCTTACTCCTTCCACCTACGTACCCAAATCATCAATTCATTATATATTATCAGTACTTATGACCGGTGATAGTCCATGGTTATCAACGTAATTAATGAATATATAATCCCAACCTGGCCGTGCAGAAGAGACGCAACGGCGAGGTACCAGGCAGTGTAAGTGGTCATGAGCAGACCCAAGAAGGACCAAATTCTGTAATTGTGGAACGAAGGAATGAACACGCTGGTGGCACAGCATGCTCCGAATATATAAGTCCACGTCCTTTTGTCCAAGTTGTCGTTTATGTAATATATGTTGCTGCACATTTTACAACACCACACCCAAACCGAATGCCTCGTCAGTCATCACTCATATGCCTTCTTCTACTTCGTTTCTGGTTCATATCATGATCTTAACTCTATAACACTACTACCACCAGAAACATAACTGATTGTTTCACTTTTATCAAGACATTACCAAATGAAAATATACGATCAAAAGGAGTTTAGTAGTTAGAAGCAAGGGTTAAAGATCGACGGAGGGAGAGGGACCTTGCGCAGGCGATCAGTTGGATGACAGATCCAAACAGCAGAAATGTACAGTTAAATGCCAGACCCACGTTTCTCCAGTGCTTTCCCAGCAGTCCATCGAGAACTTCGAACCACTGCCATAGAAAAACGCCTAATGTCACAATTGAGAGGGAAAAGAAAGGCAAGTAGGCAGCAAGCGCTGGCTCTAGATGGATGGGCGGATGGGACATAATTTAAACTAAACCTGGATGACATGGTTTCTGAAATCGACTTTCTCTCGCTCTTTTCTGGTTCTGTATTCGATGTAGAGAACGCTAATGAGGTAGGCAGTCCAGCTGCCCAGCAAGCCGTACAAGAGTTGAAAAAGCACTCCGGACAGCATTCCCAGCTGCGAAAATGAGTAAGGCAGTGTGAGCAGCACTTGAGCCACCTGCCAAATTCGTTGCCCCAACCACACTCCATTATTAGGATTATGAATATGTGTGCATATAAATATCACACCATGTAAGTGAAAGCAAGAGAAAAGAAGCGAACCTGGTTGGAAGCACAGCTGAACCATGCATCATAAACAGAACCTCCATGCCACAAGAGCTTGGAGAGCCTGGATTTGATGCTCCTGGGCTTTCCTTCGCTTTCCATTTCCACATAGTTGCCGACTATCACAGTTTCCACCGCCTTCTCCGATTCCATTTTCTGTGAAGTCCACTTGCTTGTGACTGGGAGTAAGCCTCCAAGGCAGAATATATAATATATATAGAGGCACAAGTCGGGCTAGGAAAGGTATCCGTATTTGTTTGAGGGAAGGGGTGGGTAAACTAGTGAGCTACCTTTTTTCGGGACAAGTTAAAAGCTCCCCTGGCGCTTCATACTAAACTAGATTCACCGATTCTCGAGCCCTCTTTTTGAAATTAACATAACTTTTGTTATTTGGCTAACCCCATCACCTAAACATATCTGGTCTCTCAGCTTTCTTTCTTTCTTGTGGTTTTTTAATCTTTATAGTTAGAATCCTATGAATCTAACCAAAAAGATCGTACGAGACCACCACATATTTACTCGGTACCTACTGAGAGAGCGTGGTGGCTTGTCCGCACGAGCGGCTGTGAAATCACAGTTTGGCAGTTCCCGGCGTTTGCCTTTCTACCATGGCACCACTTTTGGCTTTTACATGCTCATTTTTGGACATTTCTGTAACCATAACTTTTGGCATGTGTCACTCTTTACGTCATAAACTTCTCTCCATTAAATTAATACCCACGCTCACAATGAAACCATGTCACGCATTAACTCTCACTTTGATTTACCAACTAGATTGCCCGTGCATTCTGAAGTAAGTTCTGCTATATATAACTTAGGAATTATGAATAGCATATATGCCCCACTAGTTTGGATTTGTATAAGTTTTATAGAATATATTTTGCTCTATTATTTTTGCTAATGCCTTTTGTGTTGCAACTCTGAATAGCATTGCATTTGCCGAGGTTGATTAGAAACACTGTCGCCGATTAACAGCACATTACAGTCCATAACAGTGCTTGACGGTTCAAGGATTGAATTTTTCCCCTTTTCTTGTTGGCATTGTAAAGTGGAAAACAGAAGAACGTTGATGTTTTGTAGGGGGGCGAGGTAAACTTAAAGGAGAGGAGGAAAAGTCATAAAAAAGAAAGAAAAGAGGAGAGAAATAATAACAAAATAGACCACATGATTGCCTCCAAACGGGCGTGGTCTCTTGGGGGCTTCACGAACCTTGCTTTTATCACATGCATCAACCCCAGAATCCCCCTTCTTCATTCTTCATTACACTTTTCATGCTTTTCTTGGTACCCTAATATTCTCTACTCTACTGTCTCCTTGAAATGCCAAAACATTAAAGTACTATCTTGTTTATTTCCTATCCACTGTTTATAATAATCATATTCGTTCAATGTCTTTCCGCTACTGAAAGAAAACTGCTGTCTCAGAGATTCTCCTTAATTAGCCTCTTACTAGGTCTGTTTTGTTTTTGTTATCAAATGAATAATAAATCCCCTTGTAATTATTCTTCGTGGCCTACCTAACTTGTTTTTATATCTTTAGTCACCAAGTATGTATGAATTTTTCCCCAAGAACACTGCATGCTGCATCATCGGGTAAAGAAATATTCATTTCTTTAACCCTCTAGATTTAATTTTCCCCAATATCTAGAAATTCTCTGACAATATTGGGGTAAAATACAAACCATATATCAAATTTGTCTGGCAAACCCTGAAGAGTTTTTCGCCCAAAAAAAAAGATTAATATTGAAGCCCGAGCTGAAAGTCCTGAAAGTGTAGGCTTTGTTCAAAACACATTGATGAAGAATGTTGATTGCTCAAGTTCCACTCCTTGTCAAGTGTATGGAAGGAAACATTCTCTGTGATTCATGTCTCCTTGAGCATGTTCAATCTGTTGTGAAGCTTTGTGAGGTTTTCAAATTTATTCTAAGCATAATGAGTATCATATGCTCACTATAAATATCTGCTCTTTCTGAGCCCAGGAATTGTAATAGTCATCTTTCCACCGTTTTTGAATCATGTAAAATTTTATTGTCAGGTGAAGTGGAGGTTAATGTGGGTGTCTGCATAATTAGCACGTTCAGTTTTGTTGTGCACGTTTAGAAGCAATTTCGAAGCAAAATGATGTTCAAGGCAAATCCCATGTTCCGTTTCAATCATGAAACTTTTGGTTTCCGTGATTAGTATTATTTTTTGAATGACATTTTCGCTTCATTCTCACGCCAAAGCCCACAGTTTAATGGCATAATTTGACCATTTGGAGACCACAACCCTATAGGGACCATTATATAGTCATCTTGTTTGATGTTGCTTTTAAATATAGATTTCTCAAGAGAAGGATGAAGACACAACTGGATTGTGGATTGCCATTAACAGAGATGATTGGTGTCTATTGCAACTATCACATATCAAGAAAGAGAGGAAGACAGGGAATGTTGGTTGCTATATATTTTGTCTCTTGAATCATATTATTGAGTGTTTAAGGTAGGAGACCATGGATGAAAAGTTGGGGCATTGGATTTTATCGGCAACTTTGCATGCTTGTAACTGTCGCAGTCAACACACACTAGCAATCCAGTATTGTTCGTGAAGGCGTGACAGAACTACACGGCATAGCTTGCTTATGATCATTCCGTAATCATCCGTGTCAATTAAAAGCAGAAATACCTAAATTTGAAGCTGCATAAAAGGCCCTGAATTCTGTAACTATATATAGACTATAGCTTATGCTATGACCAGACCATAGTTGATTTGGTGATTAATTTATGGGTATGGCAAAGGGAAGGCGTATGGGCCAGCAAATGAAGCTGCAATGAGTTGTGTATAGATTTCACAAGGCTGGTCCACATATATAGAAGCTCTGTTTGCATAAGTGATGGGAGCTGATTTGATGCACAGACACCATCATAAGTGCTCATCTTCAAGGCCTTCATGCTGGGACCTTCCCTGTATCATCAACCTCTATCTGTGCTTCGCTTTAATGCCTTCTTTTCCCCTGTCAAGATCCGACAAGAATATTATGGAAAATGACGTATCAAATTTGGGGCGAAAATCATCATTCTATATGCCATGTTTCAAGAGAAGTGTAAAATCATGTACAATACATTGGCGAATGAATGAATGTGGAGGGCATACAAGTCCTGATGACATCACCTTTTTGTATATACTTTCTATTTGTATTCCAAGTTTTTAAGGATATATCGCCATGTTATTTTGGGAACAAACAGATGGGTGAATACATGAGTAACTCTTGTGATTATATACGAGTCAGAAACATTGTTCCGATTGTGATTTCTTACACGACAAGTGGACAAAAGGGACAAGCTGGAAGTGGACAGGTGGCCTTATATAAGCGCATTGCCAAGGCATCGTTGTCTGTTTGTCTTCAAATGTACGGTCTGGCCTCCCGGTCCGGCTACCGCAACGCCATTCTCATAAGCTTTTTTGTTGAGCATCTGAAGCTTAATTATCGCAACATACTTCACTGCCTCTTTGCTTTCAGGAAATTTGAAAGGTATTTCTCATTTCTGATTTCTCTCTTTCTTTCTTCAAATCCACATTTACACTCTTTGATTGCTGGAAAACGTAGTAAGCAAAACGAATTCATGTTATTTTCAATTTTGAATCTTCCCGTACATAATTTCACCTGGACTAAAACTTGTATTGGCTGGGATGGACTTTTTTTACCCAAGGAAAGAAAAAGAAGCCTTGAACTACTTGACAGATTATTGATCCCTTCCGTTAATGATTCAATTTCTTATTTCTTTTTTTTTTTTTTGCCAGCCTTATTTCTTATATTATATCTTTATTTAAAAGAGAATATTTCTATGTTTCTGTTATGAAAGTTTTGGAAAGAAAACTGAAAAGGAAAATGAAGAGAGAGAGCTCTGTAAACTATTTGTGAAGATGTATCTTGTTCAATCTGCAAAATGATATTTAAATCACGATAATAAAATACCATATCCGACTCTTAATATAAGAATGAGTTGACTAATAAAATACCATATCCGACTCTTAATATAACAACAACAAAAAACTAAGTTATCAAGTCTGTCACCAGAGATTTCAATAGAAAGTTGAGCTTTAACGTAAAGGAGAATGAGATAAAGAAAGGGTATCTTATGATGGAGAAAGATGATGGGTCTGTCAAAACTCTTGTAGTCACATGCAGTTTCCGGAGGCTGGACAAAACTCGAAAAATGCTTGTGCCCGATGATAAGGTCTGGAACAATATAATCATATTCCATAAAGTAATTTTCCTAAAGATTTAGCTAAACTAAAATTCAAAATATTTATTGTCAGGTTCTTCTAGTGCGATAAGTCATGCCCAGGAGTCCTATATTCATGAAGGAAATTAAAAGCTTGCTAAACTGTAACCAACTTTATGAGTAAGCTTGCCCACAAGAATGGTATTGCTTCGTAAGATAATAAAAGGGCGTAGGCATAGACGTTTGGCAATCAAAGTAACATTTGTACACCTCTGAGAAAAACAATTATCTCTAAAAATCATTTTTATTCCTTACATGCTATCAACCAAACAGAACTGAGTTTCCGCAGCTCCGACGAGATTGGGAGTTTGTACTCGGATTCCATTTATGAATGACACAGATCGAATGGATTTACAGGTGGGTGAGTATCGCTGAGCTGCCTCTCCATCATTGAGTTAAGGCCTTGGAAACGTGGGTTTTCATAAGCCCAACAAACCTAAACATTATAATCCAGGTTTGGTCAGATGGGGTCATAGAATTGGGCCAGAAGAGGCTTCACAATTGCACTTCACTCACTTTCCAGTCTCCTATTCTTCCTTTGGAAAAGCTTACTTTTCCTCTCCGTTTTGAAAAACGACATGAAAAAAGGGCGGCTTCTGTATAAAACGAAAGAAAAGGGGAATTTAAAAAAGAGGGCCGAATCCGAATTAACCCTTTGTGATTATCCCCGGGGGGCCATAAGTTCATGATGCCATGTCTTCAAAAGCAGGTCGAACTGGTCTTCCCAATCGTGCGCTGAGGCCATCCTCATCAACTGTTGCTGCCGTGCAATAGTAATATCCCGAATACGCCACACCCTCCTAACCCCGTCGCCTTTTTGGTTCTTTCTATTCCCTAAACTCTCTAATATTTCACTGTGCTGATCAATCTCACTCGAACGTCACAAGCATATACAACAACAGGAAGAAGAAGAAGAATGTG